GGCGTGGAGTCTTCTTGTCCTTCTCCCTCTACTCCTTCCCCCCTACTTGTGCTCGTGCTCGCGCGTGCATGCGCGCTCTCTCTCTCTCTCTCAAATAAATAAATAAAATCTTTTTAAAAAATAAATAACCCTTATTAAAAAGCCTTATATAATAAAATTTTTCTCATCACTAAAAGTTCAGGATAATCATAATTTTTCATGGTGCCTAATATTGTACTGCAAGAGATATAACACTATTTAAGTGGTCCTGCAATTTGGGATATTTGGGTTGTTTTGTCTTTCATGATTTTCATGATGAATGTCTTTGGTTCTTTCGGGAGGGGGATATGTAGAATTAGAAAAGGGTTACAGAAATGGAGTTGGTGGTCAGAAAAGTCTTGGTTCAAATCCAGGCTCTGCCTCAATTCTCCATGTCATTAGAGTCTTGGTTTCCTCGACTGCAAAAACAGGATCCTTACAACTTCAACCTCAGCATTTTTTTAACAGCTTTCTTGAGCTATAATTCACATACCATATAATTCAACCATTTAAAGTACAAATTCAGTGGGTTTTAGTCTCAGGGTTTTTGCAGGATTCAGTGATATTGAACACATGAATTGTCACCACTCTTAATATTTCTTTGATCGTAATTTATATTATTTTCTTGGACTAAGTTCTTAGAACTAGCCCTATGAGATAAAAGCCTGTAACTCTCTCAAATGTTCTAGAAATAGACCTTGTGAAGATAGATGTTCTTCTGAGGGTTTTATATTTTTGTGGGGTGTGTGTGTGTGTGTGTGTGTGTGTTTACATAGAATTTGGGAGCATAAGAGTTGGTATGAAATTGTTGGCCTATTTGACCCAAGATGCTCTCTTTCATTCTCCCTTGTGTAATCCTGGATTGTACTCACCCCTAAACCCACACACACGGTAATTAGGAGAAGTCGATTATGGTTTACCGTCATCCAACCCTGCAGAGCCACCGGCCTGTCCCTCTTCATATCCTGGTGAGACTTACTCCAGTGAGAACTGCATTGGTACCATCCCCAACTGCCAATCTTAATTCACACCAAGCACACCGTATGGTGGGCTGGCAGGAAGGAGAGGTGGTTGGTCTCCACCAAGGCCATGGGGACCCCAACCTACCTACCACCACACATCATAAAAACATACTCAGTGCTGCCGTGGGAGGACTGGCTGCAGGTTTCAGGGCTGAGTTAGCAAAGTGTTAGCCAAATCCAGGAGCGTGTTGCACCAGAGTGATGTGTGGGTGAATCCTCGGCATCCCAGCACGTGTGAGAGCAGGTTACGTGAGAAGGGTGTGGGTTAGGTGGTGAGGGAAGAGAGGAAGGTGCAGAGAGGGTGTGTGGGGTCAGAGGTGGGAGGGGGTGGGGGCAAGGAATGGGGCCCCCACTGGGGTTGGACCTTGGACCTAGTAGTCAGACCAGGGATTTGGAACCATTTTTGGGTCACAGCTTCTTTTGAGAATCTGATGGATGCTAAGGAAAGAATGCACACACATACACACACATGCATGCGCAGTTACCCACACATTTTGCCTACTGTGTCAGGGATTCCTGGAACCCAGGAAGCTCATCCAGAGGCTCAGGATTAAGAACCTCTGGCCTAAACTAGTTCACAGGGACTTGTCAGAAAAAAATCCAAACGCTGCGTTAAGAGCTGGAGAATGTTTGTGCCTTCTTGCGTGGAAGACATTTAGAGAGGTTTGCCGGTTTGGGACTTAAATTCCAAAGTCTACTTACTCCATAAATGCTTTATTTATCTTCTTCCAGCTTTTGTTTTGAAAATTTTCAAATCTACCGAAAAGTTGTGACCTCATGCAGTCTTCAACTATATTCTACAATTGTCAACATCTTTGCCTAATTGCACTCCTTTCCCATGTATGCTTGTGCTCTAGGGAACCCACATTTTTCTGGAGAACCATTTGAGAATAAATTGCAGATATTATGACACTTCATCCTAAACACTTGGCATGTAACTCCTAAGATCAAGAGACTCTCCTGCATAACCACAAGATAATCCTCACACTCACAAAATTTAACATTGATGCAATGCTATTATGTAACGTACATCCTATATTCAAATTGCCCCAGTAGTCCCATTCATTAGGGTCCTTTTTGCTGTATTTTTCCTTCCTCCCCTCCCTCCCTCCCTCCCTCCCTCCTTTCCTTCTTACCTTTTTCATTCAGGATTGAATCCAGAATTACACAGTTCTCTCTCTCAGGCTCCTTTAGTCAAGAGCACTACTCCAAAGTTTTGTTTTCTTTTGTGTTGTTTTCTCTTGTGACATTGACAGTTTTGAAGAGTACCAGACTTCGCTATTTTGCAGAATGTTTCCCAGTTTGGATTTGTCTGTGTCCTCATAACGAGATTCAAGGTAAGCATTTTGGGCAGATGCCATGTCCCTTCTTGGTGCATCACATCACAGGGTCTGTTGATCCCTTACTGATGATGTTAAATTTGACTTGACTTAAATTTGGTTAAAGCAGTGACCTCCACTTCCTAATTAGTTAGTGACCTATGGGGTTACACTGTATTCGTGGAAAGCCTTAAATGTGGCGAATGCTGGTGAGCCAGTGGTGAGCATCCAGATTCAGTTCTTGCTCTCATGCTGTTTTACACTGGAGGAAAAAGAATTACAATTACAAAATAAGCAGTTTTCTGAAGGATAGAGTGCTAAGATAGAGAAGTATCAACTCTACCATTTAAAGTGAACTTAAAGGGGTGCCTGGCTGGCTGGCTCAGTCCATAGAGATGCGACTCTTGATTTGGGGGTTTTGAGTTGAACCCCACGTTGGGTGTAGAGCTTACTTTAAAAAAAAGGTACAGATTTAAATAAAAAATCCATTAAAATTTTTTTTTTAATATGGGGCGCCTGGGTGGCCCAGTCACTTGAGCGTCCAACTCCTGATTTCAGCTCAGGTCATGGTCTCAGGGTTGCAAGATTGAGCCCCGTGTCAGGCTCCACGCTCAGCCAGGAGTCTGCTTAAGATTCTCCCACTCCCTCTCCCTCTGTCCCACTCAAATAAATAAATAAATAAATAAATCTTAAAAAAAATTTTTTTTTTTAGTAATCTCTACACCCAACGTGGGGCTTGAACTCACAATCCTGAGATTGCGTGGCATGCTCTTCCAATTGAGCCAGCCAGGTGCACCTAAATAAAAAAAAAAAAATCCATTAAAAAATAACAAAACTTTTTAAAAAAATTATAAAATGAACTTAAAAAGAGTTTGGGAAGATGGCGGAGTAGGAGGACCTTGAGCTCACGCCATTCCATGTTTACAACTAGATATAATATACATCCAAGGAAATAAGATGAGCCTAAAAGGTGAGACTTGAGGAGGAGAAAGAAGGCAGGCATGGGAAGGTGGGGATGGAGGGAGAGGAGGCAGCCATGGCCAAGCTTGGAGGGTGGAAGGAACCAAAAGCTGACCACATGGTGGTCTCAGGGAGGGAAAAGTGATAGGAAAAAGGCTCCGGGTGTGCTAATAATGGTACTGAGCACTTCGTTTTAAGTGTTTTACATGGTTTGCCTTTTCTGAGTCTCCCTATAGCCCTGTGAAGAAGGCCATTACTGTTTTTATGCTGTAAAATCTGCAGCACAGAGAAGCTAAGTTATCAGCCCAAGGTCACACAGTTTATAAGCAACACAGCTAGGATGGGATTTGACTCTACAGTCTATGCTCTTAACTATATCAAGAAGGAGAAGCAGGGTCTCACCTAGAAAACAGAATATAAAGACGAGTCAGAGCCGTCTGGACTGAGTCAGAAGTGCTGTTGATAAAGGATATGGAATGGGAAAGCAAGATAAAAGAAAGGCCCAGAAGATCAAAGAGAGAAGAGTGTTAGGAGCTAAAAAGCAACATAATAAAATAGGACAAAGTTTGGTTGGCCACCTCAATCCATGCCCAAAGGCTCGCCGGTCCCTTCAGGCAGGACTCACTATTCTTCTTCCGCTCTGTCCTCCCCCGCAAGACAGGACATTTTCATAGCCTCAAAGTGTCTCCGCACAGACTGCTTATGAACTTCAAAGGGAAAAACAGGAACTTTACAACGAGCTACCTGGCCCACTCCAGCTTAACCAAGTGACAGAAGTAAGCATTCAGCGGGTTCTCAGGGAAGGCTCTGGAAGGGAATTAGGGGCAAGTGAAAGAGAAGGCTTTTGTGAGGAAGGCTCTGGTTGAAGGGCGAAGGGGAAGTCTTGAGGTTGAGGAATCCATGGGTGATAGCGCAGGGTCCATCGGAGAAAGGGGGGGTGTCTCCGGGAGGGAGGGAGAAATCTTGAGGTGGGGGACGTTCTCGGTGGTAAGAGTGAGTCATTGGGGAGGGGCTTGATGGGGACGGGTTGGTTGACAGGAGGGTCAGAGCGGGGTCGGTACGGGGCGGGCAAACTCTGGACGACGAGAGGGTGGAGGGCTTGAGGTAGGGGTCTCGCCAGGACAGTCCTGAAAGGGCCCGCGACCCGCAAGGCTCAAAGGCAGCGGTCCGCGCGTGGCGGAGGCCCCGTGGCGGGCGCACCACGCCGCACCTCGGCGGGGCAGCTCTGGGAGGGGGCTCGGGGTGGCGGGCGGCCGGGGGCGGGGCCGGGGGCGGGGCCGGGGCGGGGCCGGGGGCGGGGCCGGCGCCGCCCGGCCGGTCCCCCCGCGCTGCAGGGGGCGCTGTGAGGCTGGGCGGCCCCGGGCCGGGCGGCGGCCGCTCCTAGTGAGCGCGGCCCCTTTTCCGGGTTTCCTCCTCCTCCTCCTCCTCCTCCTCCTCCTTCTTCGCCGCCGCCGCCGCCGCTGCCCCTTTCCCGGCCGGCGGCCGCCGCTGCTGGTGCCGCCGCCGCAGCCGCCGCCGCAGCCGTCGCCTCGGGGCCGCGAGCCGAGCGGAGGCCGACGCGGAGCGCGAGCGCCGCCCGCCTCGCCGCCCCGCCGGCCGCTCCAGGGCCCGGCCGGCTCGGCCGGCGCCCCCCGCGCCCCCAGCCCGCCCGCCCCCGCGGGCCCGGCCTGGCGTGGCCCCCCGCCGCCGCGCTCCTCCTCCTCCTCCGGCGCCCCGCGGCCCGCCGCCTCCTCCATCCGCCGCCCCGCGCCCCTCGCCGCGCCGCCGCCCTCTGCGCCCCGCGGCGCCCCCCGGTCCCGCCCGCCATGCCCGGCCCGGCCGCGGGCAGCAGGGCCCGGGTCTACGCCGAGGTGAACAGCCTGAGGAGCCGCGAGTACTGGGACTATGAGGCTCACGTTCCGAGCTGGGGGTAAAGCCGCCGCCCCCACCCCGCCCGGCCGCCCCCCGGCGCAAACCGCACTGGCCCCCACCCCGCGCGGTCTGCCTCCCCAGCAGCCCCGCCGCTGGCCGGCGCTTTCTCGGGTCTGGGGTGGGGGAGGCAGAGCCCCCTCCCCCCCCCCCCGCCGCCGCACATGTCCTCGTCTCCTTGTCCCCCCTTCTCCCCGTCTTGCGCACCCCTCTCTCCCCCTTACGCCAAAGAATGCTTTCTTACTGAGAAGTGTAGGGTCCAGGGACCGGAGCTTAATGAAAATGAGAGCAGCCCTTCCTCCTTACACTTCTGGGTTTCTATTTGGGGTGGGCAGTCAGCAGCTGTCCTCTGGAGCTATTAAAATTCTCTGTCTTTTTAGTTTTTGAAATGAGGCTGGGTGGGAGGAAATCTCTTAAAGACATCCACATTCTCAAAGCAGGCGCTGTCTACCTTTGGGGTGTGAGGTGTAAGGCAGTTGCTGTGGAGCCCCAGGCAGTGGGGCACCCTCTGAGCCTCCAGGATGGATGCTTTGCTCACCCTTCTAGATTGGCTCAGAGCCGTGCCTTCCTGCCTCTGCTCCCCAAGTTGTGATTGACCAATTAGGTTAGGAGCTGTGAGCAGAGTGAAAGGAGCCAAGTTTATGTTGTGGCTTTCATTTAGGGAATGAGTTGTGTCCTGACGTATAGACGTTTCCAATGCTTGATTAATGGAAGTGACTGGATGGGGGTGTAGAGTGGGCATAGGCTTGGTTAATCCCAAGTCCTGGCATTTATGTGTCACTCTTGCCTTTCACAGTAATCAAGATGATTACCAGCTGGTTCGAAAACTTGGTCGGGGAAAGTATAGTGAAGTATTTGAGGCCATTAACATCACCAACAATGAGAGAGTGGTTGTAAAAATTCTCAAGGTGAGTGCCTTATGAGTGGCATTAAAAATCTTGTGCATGGGTCCCGAGGTAAACTTGAGCCACATTGTAGAATGAGCAGTGCAAGCTCTCGTTTCACACATCTTCTGTCTGATGTCCCTTTGCTACTCCTCCCACCTGTTTTCCTTCTTCCTTTGAAGAAAGTATGTAGACCTGTTTGAAATCAAAGCATGATCATTGAGGAACGTACTTGTCTTGAAATGTCATTGTGGGCTCCCAAAGTGAAAATTCCAAAGGGGTCCATTTGTTACAAAAAGAAATAGGGATTCATATGAAAGAAAAGTTTTTCCAGTGAAGATCCCATCAATTCAAGGGCTCCTTGAGCACGGAGTTTGTTACCCTTGGTGCTTAAAATGATTCCAGAAAGAAAGTTGGAAGAAATTAGGGCAGCTCCAATGATGAGTTTGAAGCTTGGGTAGAAACACCTCAGTGGATGATCAGTTGATTCGTCTCCTTTGGCAGTAAAAGTGTGTCAGGTGGGGTTGGATATGGTGAACCAATAGTGCCCAGAAGGTTCATTGTTGCTTATCAAATAGTAAAAGTGAAATTGGGAACAGTAGAAGAGTACGCTTACAATCGCTAAAATTAATAGTTGAAACAAACAGTCTTTGTGTCTGGTTTAGTCGGGCTAAGTTTGATATTTTGTTGTCTCTTTGCTGAAGACAGGATCTTAATGAGCATGAAGAGTTGGCTAAATTCTCCTTCAGGTAGCTGGTTGGATGGCTTTAATAATATTTTATAGGGTGTACTAAAAAAAAAGGGTAATTCTAGACTCCGTGAAGGGTCGTCATCGTTGCCAGATCATTTAATGTGTGTGCATGTGATTCAGTGAAATATCGAAAAGACTAAAGAATGATTAATATAAGCACTTTTGCATATACAAGATTTCCAATGTGGCCATTTTGGAGAAGCTCCGTGAATAAGGATATGGAATTGGAAAGCTGTTTTTGTGTCTTAAGGATAGAGTTAGGGCAGCTGTGTCCCTGGTTAGTATGAGGGGTCAGGTTTACGCTGTCTGAAAATCAGTTTTCAGAAAAGTGATCAGCTCTGTTACTCAGTACCATCTGAGCCTAGTGATGCAGAAGCAGAGTTGCAGTAGACAGAAGTAGGCAAAGTTATCTGTGCCCTCAGAGGCACTGGGGGTTAGAAGTGAGGAATTGATACTGAAGATGTGGAGTTTGACTTTCCTCTTCCCCAAATGTGAATTGGACCTGAAAAGTCACACGGTCGTCTTTTTTTTTTTTTTTTTTCTTTACAAGCATAAATATTTAAAGAAATGTTCCCTTCAGGGAAGTCACCTGGATAAGCCATATGATTTTTTCCTTTATACATAAGCATAAATGTTTTTAATGTAAGCTGCTTAAAATCTTTCTAGGAAGTGAGCAAGGCATAAATTGAACTTAGGAATATCCATATTCCACTGCTGTGCATTTGGAAGAATGAACTGCTGACTCCAGAACAATTTCAGAAAAATAACTAAACTTTTATGCAATAGCAACATTTTTAGAATACGTGTGTAACTTCCTGTGGTGTCTTTTTTGGAGGAATGGCCTTTAGGTATATATATAAGTGACAGCACATTCATGCAAGAGAACATCGAGTTGCTCTTTAGTCTTCCTTCTAGAGATCTTCATAGCATCCGTTCCTGGATAGTTTTCCCCCTAAAGATTCACAGGATATGTTTAGGGAACCCAACGTGGAAGCTAAAGGTTATTTTTACAGACAAGAAACCTAGGCACAGGAAAACTTACCTGATACCACTATGTAGAAATGACCCTTAGCCAGAACTGTTTCCTACGTCTTCCTCTCTTTCCTCATTTTAGCATGGGTTTGTAAGATCTTCAGGATAAGTTCCCGTGTTCTGGAATAAGACTTGGGAGGCCCCTTGGATGCTCTAGTTAATGAAGTGTTTCTTGTATCTTTTCCATACAAGTTCTTTTCAGGGTACAGCCTGAACCAACTTCGTTGCCACTGGTGAAAACCACCCTCACTTCTTTTTTTTTTTTTTCAAAGCCCTGTGGCATTTCTATCCAGATTTTGTTCTATCTGAAGGATGGGGTAAGAATCTACTAATGGTATTGTGGTTTTCTCGTTTTCACAGGCTGCATTAAATTGGATTAAAAGTATTGTTTGTTTGTTTTTAAAAAAGGACAGGGTCTTGATCCCAAGTTGTGCACCCCTATTCAGATAAGTTATGACTAATATCTGCTGTTATGGTGTTTGGTCATAGGACATTAGGTCCTTAAGAGAGTACCAGCTGCCCATAATTTAGAGGAATTTAGAAAAAACTTCCTCTTCATAAAAGGCCTACTGTATTTCAACGGCAGGAAGGAACTTATGTATTCATGTACACACAGTGACCGAGATAGAAGGTATATTCCTTGAAGACAGGGCTGTCTTCCCTTTTGGTCGATAACATTTTCCTTCAGTTCTTTCCAGTATATGAGGATGGTCAGATGGTGAATGACCACAGAGGAATTCTATCACTTAATTTGTATCCATAGATTTTTTTTTTTTAGTATTTTTTTTTTGGTCAAAACATATTGGAGCTCTTAAGAGGTTTTAGGAATTTAGAAGTTGGTGAGCAAAATTTTACTGTCTATTTTGAAGTGAAATTCTGAAGTTGAAATTTTTAAAATGTTCCAGTCAATAGGAAGGTTATATCTTTTTTGGCCAAAATTGTTTTGAGGAGAAAAAAAAGAGAGAGGGTTGATGGGAAGGGTTAACAGGAGGGCAGAAATCCACTTTAGTGCTGAAAGTTTCATCTTTTGATTCCGAACAATCCATTGCTCAGTTCCTTTGTAGTACCTCTTAGGAAGGTATACATAGAAATAAAAGCATTTGGCCATTTCGGACAACTTGTAGCATTTTGTGGGCACCACCTATGTGTGGATTTCAGCTCTTCTTGGGATCCTTCAAGTGAAAACTACTATTTCCTAAATAGAATTAAGAGCAATACTGTTTTTAAATGTGTACAGTGTTTTGGACCCATGCTGCCCTGACTTGGAAATTCTCATATAAGAGAATGAGTTGGTAGTCTGTTGATAGTCTTATTTCATAAAGAGTTGGGCAAATCCATTTTTCCCCCGGAGGTCAGTTCTCAAGATTAAAACAAGGAATGGTGGTAATACAAGTTACTTTTTAAGTGGGCTTAGCATATTTGTGGATGTTTCTAAAATGTGCGGTGAGGAGGTGGTGTTAAAAGAAGGATGGGAGGCCTGCCAGTGACCCGTCTTGTGGGGTTACTTCAGAGTGAGCAGGCGACTTCTAGGTTGTGTCAAAGTGATGTTCGCTCATGCTGGTGCAGGGCTTTCTCCTTTATTTCTGCTTTCTCCGGTGGTAGTTTTTTTCCCCTCCAGGTACTTTGTTAGGCAAATGTACCAAGACATCATCTTCCTGAAGCAAGACATTAGTATTAATTTATCTGAAGTTTTTGTGATTTTTTTTTTTTTTTTAGTTCCCACAAATGTCTTATGGTGTAAAAGTAGTTAAAATGGTATTATGAAAGCGTTACTAACATCAAAAATAGTATAAATTTTAAAATTATGTGTGAACTAGTCAGTGTTGTTTCTTTTTTCTTTTAAGATTTTATTTATTTGGGGCGCCTGGATGGCTCAGTTGTTAGGCATCTGCCTTCGGCTCAGGTCATGATCCCAGGGTCCTGGGATCGGGCCCCGCATCAGGCTCCCCCCTCAGCGAGGAGACTGCTTCTCCCTCTCCCTGCTGCTCCACCTACTTGTGCTTGCTCTCTGTCAAATAAATAAATAAAATATTTTTTAAAAAAACTTTTATTTGATAGAGAAGAGAGAGAGATCACATGCGCGTGTGCAAGTGCAAGCAGGGTGGGGAGGGGCAGAGGGAGAGATAATATCAAGCAGACTCCTCACTGAGTGCAGAACCTGATGTGGAGCTCCATCTCAACGACCCTGAGATCATGACCTGAACTGAAACCTAGAGTCAGATACCCAACCAACTGAGCCACCCAGGCGCCTTAGTCATTGCTGTTTCCAATATTGTGGTTGTAGGGTCTGAGCTTGAGAGAGAAACAGAGTGAACAGAATCATGAAGTAAGGGAGCAGAGAAACCTTAAAACCCAAACCCTTTTTACAGATAAACTGAGACCCAGAGCATGCAGTTTGCTCAGAGTCACATGGTTAGGGGGTGGAAGCACTAGGGTCCTGGTCCTCTGCCCCTATCATGGATCTTGTAGATGTGAGAAGCAGTTTGGACATTTGCTGGGTATTTGGCTTCTTGAGGTGTTGAACTGTACTGGAAAGATGGATAAACACTCACTAGAAGTCAAATGAATTTGTTTCTAGTGGTTTTGGGGATGGGGATTCTTCTGGAAGGCAATGCTTGACTTGGACAGGTACTAGATGGAGTGCGGAACAGATGAATACCCAGAGAACTGTAGGGACCCAGCCAGGGGCTCTCTGGTTTGGGTCTGCAGCAGCGTGGTGAATGCATAAGTGAAATGTTATTTTGCTCTCTTGGTTTGAGGCCACAGTAACCAGTGTGTTTATACTTTTTTAACCCATACAGTTCCCTCATCATGATGACTTGCCAAATTTGGGTGCTAACAGCTTTATCCCTCTAATACATTAGGGTTGGAGAGTGAGCCATTTGTAAAAAGACTATCTTGACATAGAGGACCCATTTTCATGTGTACATTGTGGCTGTAGATAGTTTCTAGAGCCTGATTTGAGCATCTGCCCCCTCATGATGAGGGCAGTATAGTGTAAAGAAGTGCTGTAAATGGAGGGCAGGGGACTTGGGTTCTAGAACCAGCATCCTCATTTATACCCAGTTGACTCTTCGTATCAATAAAATGGATATATGTTTCTTGTGGAACTTACAGGTTGTTGGGAGAATTAAATGAGATCTGGAGAGATGGGGAGGTAGATGACAGTGTTTGAGTCATCTACCCAGGGCTCCTTTCCAGAAAGTGGCCCTGGAAGTAGACTGCCTGCGATCAGATGGGCATTCCCAACACTCTGCAGCTCTGTGACCTTGAGCAGTTATTTAAACTCTGCCTCAGCGTCCTCATGTAAAAGTGCACCAATAGTAACTCTTAAAATACTATTAAAAGTGGATTAAATGTGCTTAAAACAGTGCCTGGCACTTAGAAAGCAATAAGGTATGGTTCTAATAACAATATTTCAGTTGGGCCATGTGAATGATTTCAGAGGGCAAAACCGGTAGTAGAAAGGACTGTACCACTCTCTTGATGAGATTCAAAAGGCCTGCTGTATGCCTTGCTTTTTTAAATTAAAACACACCCACCCCCCTGACAATAAACAGTCTCAAGGAGTCGATAACGTAACTGGAAAGATGGGACTTTAAAGATTAAGGGAAGAGTTGCTGTGAACAATTAATATTGCTAAGGTAATGTTTATATTTGGGTCAGTTGCAGTGGATTTGAGAGATGCTCCCAAGGTAGTAAAATAAATGCTGTCATCGAGGCTGAACTTTTCTTCCTTACTCTGTCCTTCATCCCTGGCAACCAGTGTTCATTGTGATTGTTTACTGCAGGTCACGAAACTAATCTCTCTGTTGTCACCGTGCACTGGAATAAAAGTGATTCCAGATTTGGAAGTTCTACGCCACCCTCCTGCCTGTCTTGAATTTATTAATTCAGTTGTGCTTAGAAAGAAATGAAAATGGGACTTTGCCTGTTAACATTTGCTGGGACTTATTGAGGTCCTAATTCTTATGCCCTTTGTATATGTTAGTTCACAAATTCAATCACAATCAAATGCTAGTAGTTGAAATCATTCTCAGATCTGGCTTCTTAAAAATCAGCCTTAAGTAAATAGGACCGATCACTGACTTCATTAACTAAGCAGCCCATCATTAAGTTTCTCTTTTAAGTTTTCAATGTTAGTCAATAGGGAGAGAGAAGTAGTATCTTAACTCTTGGATTATGTTGAACAAGGTTGTCCTGAATAGCTGGGACTCTCCACCATGTGGGCTGAAACCTTTGGGAAAGTTCCTTCCTTCCACCTGTTCACTTTTCCTTTCTTTCTCTTTCCCTCTTTCTTGTTTTTTCCTTCTCTCCCTCCCTTTCCTTCCTCTCCTAAGCTCATGCACAGAAAATTTCAAATTGAGTTTTTTCCTTTTAAACATTCTCTCTAGGTGTGTGCCAGAATTCATTTATTACTGAAACTTGATTTAATACTTTAATTTCTTTCTTTTCTTTAGCGTTTTGCCATTTTGCTCTACTAGACTTTGAGTAGAAAAGAATATTGGGAAACAGCTGAACTGACTCATTTTGAATCTTTTTTTTTTTTTTTTTAAAGATTTTATTTGTTTATTTGACAGAGAGAGACACAGCGAGAGAGGGAACACAAGCAGGGGGAGTGGGAGAGGGAGAAGCAGGCCTCCCGCGGAGCAGGGAGCCCGATGCGGGGCTCGATCCCAGGACCCTGGGATCATGACCTGAGCGGAAGGCAGACGCTTAACGACTGAGCCACCCAGGCGCCGCCATTTTGAATCTTTTAAACAGATATTCTCTGAATTGAAATAAATGAACCTTAACTGGGAGAGACTTTGTGTAGCAGGATGAAATGATGAGACTATGATGGAAGTGTGTATTTTCTCTGTGTAGCTGCAGGTGGATGAATGCAAACGCTGGGCTACAGGCTCAAAGCATTCTTATTTTCATAAAATCCTTGATCTGTTTTCCATAGGATGTGAAGGGTCTTCCTTTATGAATTCTAACCTTTTCTCTTAATTCTGTTTACAGCATTAAAATGATCACTTTCATTCCCAGGGAGCTCATTGGTTTTTTAGCTTCTAGAGCATCTCCCAGGTTCGGAAGAATAAGCTTGAGGCTAAAGGGAGTTCCCTGTGGTCTGGTTCCTGTAGAGAATAGACGTCCATGCTTTGGAGGAGTATCCTGGGCTGTAGGTCACTTTCTTTTTTATAATCTCTTGGTCTTTTGTCAGGATGTGAGGACTCCAGGTGCTGTGTGAGTCCATTGTGCCACTTGAGAATTGCCCTGCTGTCCCCAGTCTCTAGGTGAGGAAGTTGTTGGACAGGTAACAGTTGGGTAGCAAAATACGCTCCCTTGCTCCCTAAATTACCTGAGGACGTAATGAGAGATACCTTAATCTCAGTGGCATTGTCCAGGAACCGTGTGCCTGCCTGACTTGTTGCTGACTAACAAGAGGGCAAAGCAAGACTTTATACGGGGCGTTGTCGTAAAGGCAACTTACTTAGTGGGTTAACCCTGTACTAATTCACCATTAGGGGGAGAGCAAGGTTTTCGGTGTATACAGATCTCTGGCTCTGGTGTATTTTTTCCTCTGTGACCACTCTCACAGATCTGTAACTGCTTTCCAACTCTAGAATTTTCTTACATTGAATATACTGGTAGCATTGGCTGAATTTATAGATACAATAGCCAGCTTTTATTCTTCTTTTAACTTTTTGACATAACTTTAGACTTAAAGGTTACAAGAATCCCCATATATCTTTCACCCAGATTTCTCAGATGTTAACATTTGCTTTATGCCTTCTCTCTCTCATATATAAACACACGTATATGTGTGTATAAACGTATGTAATTATGTAAATCACAGTGCTCCTTACTGTAGTATTTCCTAAAAACAAGGACAATTCTTATGTAACCCCACAGTGCCATGATCAAAAATCAGAAACTAACATTGGTACAATGCTGTTAGCTAATCTACGGCCCCTGTTCTCATTTGCCAATTGTCTATATAATGTTTTTATAGTAAAAGAAAATCCCAGGTCATGTGTTACATTCAGTTGTCATATCTTTTTAATCTCGAACAGTTGTTCATTCTGTTTCCTGACATTGACATTTTTGAAGCTTACTTATTCTGTAGTGTGTCCTTCTCTGGCTGTTTTTTTGATCAAGTTGTACTTCATGTTTGAGTGCTTTATTTCCCCCGAAGTCTTAAGCTCCCTAATTATGAAAAAGGGAATGAGTACGATTCCTAAGTGGAAGTGGGAGAGAGAGACAGTAGCCAGATCTACTCTCCCGGGAACCCTGACAAAGCAGAGTGGACATGAGTGTGGCAGCTGGCTTGGAAGAATGCAGCTAGATTCCAGCCTGTCAGTCAAGCACCCTGTTAGAGGTGATGCAGGTGCTCTGTGTTTCATAATCTCCCTCTGTTTTGTTATGTGTTCAAAGCTGTAGCTTAGTGACCAACAAAAGGTGACGGTGTCTTTGGCATGTATATATCTCTCCCCTCCCACCACCACACACACGCAGGCTTTTAAAATCTTATTTCGTTGAAAACCCATTGGACGCTCTTTGCCTGTGCTAGCAGAACTGTGTCTAGTGTCTTGGTGAAAGAATACTCCTTTTCCTTAGTCCGCTTTCTGTCATAGCCACACTTGGGAAGTGAGAGCACCGTGGCCAAGAGGGAGGCCTACAGCGTCACTGTCTAGATCGGAATCCTGCCCCCACCCTTCACTGTCAGCTGTGGGACCTTGGGCAAAGGGTTCAACTAGGCTGAGTCCACTACCTAGGAATTGTGTGGTTTGTCACTAACTAAAAACGAGAAAATAATAAAGTTCCCATTTATTGAGTGCTTACTACATGCCAGTCAAGTGTTCTAAGTACTTTAATAAAATGTAATTGATTGTGATGTGTCTCTTGTTCCAGAACTACTTACATTCTTCAAATTCTTTAAGACAAGAAATAACACGTGTAATGCTAGTATTTCTGATTGCAATCTTTAATTTTTCTATCCAGCAGATGGACAGGTTAGCAAGTAGCAGAGGTTTCCAGTCAGTACTGGATCAGAGATCCGTTTTCTCCTTTGCTGATCCATCATCTCTTTCTTTAGGAGTGGTATGTGTTGGGTAGTTTTAGTGGCTCTGGGCTGATTTCAGATTCTAGATGTTGAGGAAATGGGAGTGGCAACAGGAAATGGGAGCCAGCAGCTGGGAAACAAGTTTGTAACTTGATGTCAGTGAACTGGTCTTCGCTCCTGGAAGACAAAATTACATGTAACTCATTGGAAGAGCAGGTGTCTCACCATTTTGTTTCATTTTTTTCCGTTTGCAAGTGCATGATAATACAGCTGTTCAGAGCTATAACGCGCATTCCATTTGGCAGTTATCTAGAAAGCATTTTATTTTTAAAGTATGACATGGGTGTTCAAAATTTGTAAGTGCCCTAAATGTAACTACCTAAAGATCTGACACATATGCTATATGAGTGTGTATTTAACTTAATCTTAAACGTTCTCAAGGGCAGGCCCCACTTTTATCTTGATTTCTTTTTTCTAATTTAGACACACTCTCTTGACATGTGTACAAGATAGCGCAATAGCCACTCGATTAGCTGACATCGTTGTAAGGTTTTATTTATTAACTTCAAAAGGAATCTCACTTCTGATTACTCTTGTGTATTTAAGCCAGTGAAGAAAAAGAAGATAAAACGAGAGGTTAAGATTCTGGAGAACCTTCGTGGTGGAACAAATATCATTAAGCTGATCGACACTGTGAAGGACCCTGTGGTAGGTGCCTGACGGTTGGGGGAGAAGGAGAAAGTGAGGGCGTGCGTGCCTGTGTGTGTGACACAGAATGTCAAAATAAGGAGAAACATTACATAGTGGGAATGACTGTGTTCATCTTTACTACTGAGTAGTTTTGAAAACTAGAAAAAAATCATGGTGGCCCAAAGATGAAGTAGCCACCACCACTTTTATGGAACCTAAAAATGTGTATAGAAAAATCCCTATCCCAAGTTTATTACCTTGTTCTGATTCAGCCCACAAATGTTCGCTGAATGTCTTCTTTAAGCCCTTACTTTTCTTCCAGTTTTGAAAGCTTATTCCCACCAATTAGCCTTATTTTGCTTCACTTAAGTAAGCCTGACATCTGAAAGTCTGGGCTTACAGAAGGAAACACCGAATATCTCCACGTGGACACCTGGCATAGAGATCACAGCCCACAGACTCGTTGAGGACGGCATCTTGCTGTTTCTCATCCTAGGCCTTAATTCACTGTCTATCCCAGGGGCTCACATTGTATATGCTGATACAACTAAACTATTTTTGTTAAAAATGCTTACTTTGTAGCCATTTTAGATGTGCTCTTTAATTTTGTTTTCTCTTCTTGGGGAGTAAACTTAAGTTTATGATTAGTTACAGTTTTTATGTACCACCTCCCATCCCATTTCTGTTCTTCCTCTGTTCTACCTCACCTATTTTCCTATCTTCCCATGCCAGTGTTTCGTGTAAGAGGTAGGTCTTCTGCTGAAGACATCATAAAGAAACAATGTGCTAGCGAACATGGATTGACCTCTTACTCTGTGCCGGCACTGTTCTGGACCTCGCACAGTCCTCAGCAATCCACTGGAGTAGGTGCTGTTACTGGCCACATTGTTACATTGTACAGATAGGACAGCTGAAGGCTAGGGAGGTTCAGTAATGTGCTCAAGATTACACAGGATCATTAAGCTGAAGAATAAGGACAATTTTGCCTTTGGGACCCTAAAAAAGACTGAGAACAATGGTTGTATGCTAGATTCTAGCTAATTGGCATTAAAAATATATCCCGCCTGAGGAGCTCAGATTGATTTTAGAATGACTAACTCCGGACTCCATCATCTGTGAAAACGACCTGCAGTGTGAGCCAGCACATATTACTGGTGTAGCAGCGGCCTCTGCATTTTGGCTTTTTTTTTTTTTTTAAGTTAATAGAACTTAGTGATACTTGTCTTACTGATACTGTAATGTGTTGCTTAAGGCATGTGTGTGTTCTATATAAAATGGAACACAAGTAAATTAAAATTGGATGCAAACCAAGGGGCGAGCCCTCCTCCTCTAACTTGTAGGGAGATGGGCTCACTCCCAGGCAGTAGAGAGATCTGGTGGTCTTGACGAAGCCCCGTCCCTTCAGGCTAGTGAGGAACCCTTTGACCAGCGCTGCTGGGACTGCTGCTCGTTCTGACAAAGCCCCGTGTGCACGTACTGTACCCTGTTTCCTAGGTAACTTTCACCTGCTTCCTTGAGCAAAACTTCCCAGCCATAAAGATTTCCAAGGTGATTTTCTTTCTATAACCCTTTAAGCCCCTGCTTTTCTCTTAATTTTGAAAGCTTATTACTGCTAATGAGCATTATTTTACCTTACTTAAGTAAATCTGACGTTTGAAAAATTTATACAAGGAAATATTAGACATTTGGTACTCATTGCATTAAATGAGTATGATTTTGGGGGTTGGGGGGGAGACACATCTACCTTGTAAATTGAGACATTCTCTAGTGGTCTCTAGCCAAGGCAGTAATTTCACATTATAGCCTCCTGATAATCATAGATATTTTCCTTTTGGATCCTGAAAAGGCCTATGATAGATTCCCAAGACGTATGATAATTCTGTAAAATGCATCTGGCTCGCTAAACCAAGATGAAAACATGTCACTACTTTTGTGGTTGGCAGACTGGAACACTGCAGAGTATAATTCTTCACATAATGTGCCAGGCCCACTGACAGGTTGGTCAGAGAATACATCTCCTTTAAAAAAAAAAAAAAGAAGAAGAAGAACCTTATGAAAAATGTCAACTATTTACAAAAGTAAAGTGAATAAGATAATGAACCTCCCTGGACACATCACTCAACTTTAGCAGTGCCGCAACCTCGTGGCCAACTTTGTTTCATCCCCCTGCCACCCACTTTCCTACCACCCACCATCCCCACTTACTTCGAAGCAAATTCCAGACTCATAGTCTCAAGAGAATACTTTCTTAATAGGCTCTCCCTGATGAGTGAATCCCGTTTTCATTTAAGTGGGATTTGGGGATGGATCGGTACAACAGAAACAAAGCACGTTTATTGTTTGAATACTTACAAGGCATTACTATTCTCTCTTGCAGTCAAAGACCCCAGCTTTGGTATTTGAATATATCAATAATACAGATTTTAAGGTGCGTATATGCTTTTTCTTTCTGGCATGGGGTTAATGGGGGATGGGCAGGTGGCGATAAGTACTGTGGATGCTCCAGAACAAAAGGGGACCAGGAAAAGTCATTGGTGAGAGTGGGAAGTAACAAATCGGATTCCTTACCGCATGAGTATAAGATGCAGAAAGTGGGTAGGGTTCTTGTATTTGGTGAAATTACTCATTACCCTTTGCCTTGCTTACTCTGGGAATAGCTGCTGGGCTGGGTCTAAGCTAATGCCTCATCTATAACACTCCTGTTTTAGACAGCATTGTTTTAAGTAGATATTTGATTTGCATAGGAGTCTTCCCTTGTTGATAGGAAGTGGTAAACGGATACAGGGCTCATGTGAAAAGAAGCAGGACATGGGATTCAAGCTGTCAGAGTGTGTGTGTTCACGAACACTGTATACAAAGCAAATGACACAGAAAAGGTAGTTAAGTGTCGCTGTGCTTTAGAAAAGCCCTTTCCTGGGTTATTTACATTTCTTATAATGAATGTTAATTTAGACTTAAAGTGTTCTTCTAAAAGCATGGTTTTAAGCTGGTTTTTTCATGAGTTTTTTTTTATTAATCGTTCGGACACTACAACCTTAACTTCTGGTAAGGTTTTTGGGGCCAGTTATTCTGGACATGGTAGAGTGTAATATGAAAACCAATATAAGAACAAAATAGTGGTGTTGATTTTGAGGGGTGTTTGGAGAACTTTTAGATGATTATAACACTCTCAATGAATCAAAGACTTGTGATTTTGTTGTGATGGAAGTTAGGGCCAAAACTACATCAGCAGTTGAAAAATGCTGGTATCAGGAGTGAAGCTTTTGGGTGAAAATAAAAGAGCTTTATCTCACATTTAACTTTTCTTAGGTAATCACTCTAAAACAACTCTAAAATAGGGTTGATTAGTGGAAAATAAATAAACGGGACTATAATTTATGAAACAATAAGCAAGTTTTATATACAGTATAGCTTTTCCATGTGTAACAAGTTTCCCTGTTAGTCTAACTCCTTACAGGTGAAGTCAACAGTGAGCTCTTAACAGTAGGATGTAAATGTTTTCATCAGCCTGACGGTGCTTAGCCAGTAGAGTTTTTTGTGATACACATGGTTGATCCCAGTTTTGCCGTGAATGACCCAAGTTTATCAAGGTGTGTGCATTTCTTAGTGAAACCGAACATTTTCCTGAATACCAAAGTTTAAAAGCTGGTCTTAATGAAACCTCATATGAAATGCCTAAGTTTTAAATGCTACTGCTTCCTTAATGAGTTTTTACCAGTTGTCTGGCCACACATATAAAATTTTCACTTTAGCATTTTGTGTTTCTTAAATTGACAGCTGCCCTGTGGATTTAACAGCATGCAGAAGATGGGTTAGCAGAAATTTTTAACTCCTTGGAGAAATCTTACTTCTTTTGCATCTTAACTCTCAAAGGGGATGGTTTAATGGCACACATTCTCTAGGAGCTTCCTTTAAAGACATCATGGAAAATTCATGTTTTTTGAGGCTCTCATATCTGAAAACATTTTTATTTTATCTTCCTAATTAATGGACTTGCCATGGCATAGAATTCTGGGTTGTAACTAATAATTTTCTCAGAATTTTAAAGAGCTTTTTCCATCATCACCACTGAAGCCATTCTGGTTTCACCTTACGTGATCTGGTTTGGGTTTTGGTTTTTTTCTTTGGAAAGCTTTTAGAATTTTCTCTTCAGTCGCAGTCTGTGAAATTTCACAATGATGTTCCTTCGAATGGGTCACTTTTATCTTTTGTTCTGGACACTTGCTGGGCTTTTTCAATCTAGAAACTCATGTCCTTCCGTTTTAGAACAGTATTTTTAACATTCTTTGATTTTCTTCCCTTTCTTCTTTGTTCTCACTTTCTAGAACTCATTCAAATGTTAGACTTCATCTCTTAGCTCTATTCTGTTCTCAGAACTTTTAAAAGTAGTATCCTGTTCTTTTATGTAATATCTTCTATTCTCTCACTGAGAATGTGTGGGTTTTTCTCTCCCCCCCCCCCGATGTTTTCTTCTTGTGCTGTTTTCTCAGTTTTTCTTTCAAATTCTTTTTTGTGTGTGTGTTCTTCTTTTTGTCTCTGTTGCAATTGTCTGAAATGTCATGGTTTTTGACTGTCTCCTCTTATGAGTTATGAAATTACTGATGACTGCTTATCAGCTCCTTTCTGGAGGATGTGAGCCTGGCTGCGAGCCTCCCGGCCTCCAGCGGAGGAGCCCCGTGGGGAATGTTAACGTGCACTTTCACGTAATTCCCCATTTCCAGTGTGGTGTTTTAAACTTGTTTTCTTGTTTTCAGCTGAATCTGTTGACTCTCTTTCATTGATACCTGGGGTCACCGATTCCTGAGCCTTTCGGTAGTTCTTCCACGTGCAGTTGTCTGCTTCTGGACCCCCTCTGCTCTTGGCAGAATTTGGTCTGCTATGTCAGTTGGACATTTTTATCTTGCTTCAAGATGTTGTCATCTCTTCCATTCTGTTAGTTATTGGGAGTGAATCCCCCAAACCCCACTCCTTTTACTGTTACTTTAGAGGAGCGTCAAGAAGAAGCAGGGTAGGATGTGTTTGGTCTGCGGTATCACACTGGAGGGCCCCCGTGAGTGGTCAAGCAAGCCCTGCCATTTTAGTCAACTTACAAGATTGTTAAATATTAGGTAGCCGATGTGTGTTTTGGAAGAGCAAATCATGACAAGATGGTCATTTTCTGCTCCAGGTAGTATGACAGGCCGCAGATAGGGAAGTCAGCTAGTTTAATGTCCTCATGCCCTTCAGGCTTTTTATTTTGTCCTGTGTCTATCTTATTAGAAAAGCTTGTTTTTATTTTTTTCATTTTACTGTTAAGTGTATCAGAGCTGGATTTAAGGTATCGCTCAGAGGAGGTTTGTCCCAGGTTTAGTATCAGAGGTGAATCAGCAGTGATACAGCCCGCAGCCTGTTCTTTTCAGAATTTTTTATGGATGTAATTGATCATAAATTTTTATCCATAATTTCCTTTTATTGTAGATTCCTGATTATCCTAACTTCATAAAATAAGTTGGGGAGCTCTTCCTTTCTAGTCTCTGAAAGTTTATATGAAATAGGGATTATCTACTTGTCTTTTGGGAGAGAAGGGAGACTTTGGACTATACTTGCCTTTTCAGAATGTACATACATCTAAATGAAAGGCTTCTCCTGGTTTTTTGTCTCTTCGTGAGTTTGTTTGAATGATAACGATTTCTAAGGTCCACTTTCAATTTTATTTACATAAAGTTAATAGAATTCTCTTAGGGCTTAAAGACTTTGATGTGTTTATAATTATGTTTTCATTTACATTTTCAACATTATTTGGGCTTTTTTCTCTTTTCAAAAAATTACCAGTATTGCTAGAGATCTCTTTTACTAATACTTTCAGAGAATCAGCTTTTGGTTTTATTGCTCAAATGTTTCCTTGTTTCTGCTCCTATCTTAATTATTTTCTTTCTTCCTCCCTTCTTTCTTCCTCAACATTTTCATTCTTGGGTTTTCATTGTTTTCCCCCTAACTTCTTGAGTGGAAATCTGCTCATTTCATGTGTTCCTATCTTTCTTTTTTTTTTTTTTAATTAATTTTTTTTTTTAAGATTTTATTTATTTATTTATTAGAGAGCAAGTGAGAGAGAAACAGCATGAGAGAGGAGAGGGTCAGAGGGAGAAGCAGGCTCCCCGCCGAGCCGGGAGCCCCATGTGGGACTCGATCCCAGGACCCCGGGATCGTGACCTGAGCCGAAGGCAGTCGCTTAACCAACTGAGCCACCCAGGCGCCCTGTTCCTATCTTTCTTGATTGGTGGTGTGGGCTTTAAGTCGTGCAACATCAAGCACCGCCTTAGCTACATTCCATGGTTATGGAACTCACTTCTGTATCGTTTTCAAATTAGAAGTACAAATTCCAGGAGCGCCTGGGTCGCTCAGTCCCTTGAGCAGCTAGTCTCTTGGTTTTAGCTCAGATCGTGATCTCAGCGTCGTGGGATGGAGCCCTGTGTCGGGCTCAGTGCTCAGCTCAGAGTCTGCTCATCTTTCCCCTCCCTTTCTGCCTCCTCTCCTTCTCCTCCCCTGCGCACGCTCTCTCTCTCTCAAATAAATAAATAAAATCTTTATTTTAAAAAGAAGTACAAATTCCAAACTCGGGAATTTGGGTTTTTCTCCCCCAACTTTGTACTTTGCAATATTTTATTTATTTTTTTTTGAAGATTTTATTTATTTGACAGAGAGAGACACAGTGAGAGAGAGGGAACACAAGCAGGGGGAGTGGGAGAGGGAGAAGCAGGCTTCCCGCGGAGCAGGGAGCCCGATGCGGGGCTCGATCCCAGGACCCTGGGATCATGACCTGAGCTGAAGGCAGACGCTTAACGACTGAGCCACCCAGGCGCCCCTGTACTTGGAAATATTTTAAACCTACTGAAAATCGGAAGGAGTAGCACGATTAATACCCTCATGTTTTTCCCCTAGATTTACCAGTTGCTAATAATTACCACATTGGCTATTCGTTCTCGTCCCGTCCCCACCCTCCCCTCTTTATCTCTGTCTTTTTTGTTGAAATCCTCCCAAAGTAAGTTGTACGCATCGTGACACTTCACTTCTAAATATACGAGCGCTGGAGCTAGATGGGACCTTTTCCTACCTGCCAGTACTGTTAGCACAAGAAGACACAATACTTCTACGATAATGCCATCTGATACACGGTACAGAGTCCATATTCAAGAGTTTCCTGGTAGTTACTGTCCTAGGAATGTCCTTCCTAGCTGTGTGCTCGTGAATAATGTGATGGAGGAGCCACGTGGTTTTTCAACAAAAATATTCTTTTATTGTTGATTCCTAATGTGGCTGCACTGTGTCCAGAGGAACATGACCCATATAATGTTAGTTCTTTGGACTTTGTTGACAGTTGCTTTGTGACTCTAGTGCATGGCCATTTTTTATATCAAGCTTGTTAATTCAGTTCAGATCTTCTATGGCCTTACTCATTTTTCCCCTTGGTACTTCATTTTATGGTGGAGGTACTGGTTCGGTTGATTTCTCCTTGAAATCATCAGTTATGCTTCATATGTGTCAAAGCGATCGTAAAAGATACATCGTGACACTTAGAAAAAAAGACAAAACTTCCAAAAAAGTAGGAAAAGCCAGTCTCTAATAGTTGAAATGAATAGTTACAGAAAACTCTCAAACTTGACATTTTCTCAAGGAAGCTAAAGTACAGTATGTGGCAGTTTTCTATGCTTTTGGAAGAATATAAATAAAAATAAATACACATTTTAAGCAAAATATATCATCTGGACATTTTAAAGATTGGTAAGGCATCCTGAATAGACTGCGTTTGAGAAGATAGTAGGCCCATATTGCTCTGTGGTGAATTTCTTTTTTTTTTTTTTAAGATTTTATTTTATTTATTTATTTATTTGACAGAGAGATAGAGAGCACAAGTAGGCAGAGAGGCAGGCAGAGGGAGAGGGAGAAGCAGACTCTCCACCGAGCAGGGAGCCCAACGTGGGGCTCGATCCCAGGACCCTGGGATCATGACCTGAGCCAAAGGCAGCCGCCCAACCGACTGAGCCACCCAGGCGCCCTGCTCTGTGGTGAATTTCTAAATTACCCCCATAGACGTGGGCCTTGACTAGCTGATGTCTTGAGGCCTTGTTAATGCTGTTAGTAGTTCGATGTGGAGAGGATCTTCTTTAGAAGACATTTTCAAGTGATTAGTAATAACTTTGATTTGCTTGATTAGTGATTTGTTCTGCTTCCTTAAATTTCTGAAAATATTGACCTTGGTTTTATTCTGGATCTTGGGGTTACATGTTAATGCCAATGCTGATGAGACTGCCTTAAGCACCTTTCACTTTATATCCCACTCCCCCTGGCTTTTTTCTTCTCCCTACGTGGGGACCACTGGGATTTCTGGACACAGACTGAGCTGTGTGGGTGAGGGAATGTGCACGCTCTGTGTGCACGGTGAGAGTTTGCTGTGTCGGTGATTCCCACATGTGGCTGGGAACCTTCTTGAGCTGCGTAGTCCTCCTGAGTGACAGTCCTCGGGGATGGGGCTTTGGAACCTGTAGCTGATTGTGATGCAGCCGAAGTATACCCACAGTCTCTGAGGACCGACGACCATACAGCAAGAATGAGGCCCACATGGGCATACAACAAGAGTGAGGCCGTTCCGATCTGGGTGGTGGTTTTAGACCAAGGAGGTTCTGAGGCTGTTGACCAAATTGCCTTTTTTCCATTGTCCTCCTCAAAGTTTCTGAGGTTAATAAAAAGTCCCAGGATATTTCCACCTTGGGTCTTTTGAGCCATCCTGGAGTAGACCTGATTTCTGAGAAAATACCATGTGTTTGAGGCTTTGTAACCAGACTAGGATTGGTGAATAGTTTCTTCCTCAGCACCTTTGTAATCTTCTGGGAAGCATAGGTTTGTTTTGCTTTCGATAAGTCACTTATTTCATGAAAATATAAGCAAAGCTAACTTCCTGCCAACACTTTGCAGTTGGTTGGTTAACAATGTTCTCCACATAGCTGGCCAAGAAGAATGGAGGAAAAGTATGGTTCTTGTGAAATTTCCCTTTATAACTTGTCATGGACTCTTCACACTTGTGTTTCCTGGAAGACAGTTTTAATTTTGTTCCATTGACTGGTGAACATTATCAAAAACAAATATTTAGCGATTGCCTTCTGGGTACAAGCTGAGAGCCACCATTGATGGGGTGGGGTATATACCGCGTATGCTGCTCCTCTTTTGTGTTATCCGAGCACTTAGAATATGGACCAGATTGTATGGTGGCCCCTTGCATACTTGGGGGAAGGAAAGCAAAGATCTTGAGTCAACAAGTTGGTGACTACCACCAGCCACAGCACCCATTTTTCCCCATTGTATGTGTGCCTGATCCGTGGGGACGCTGACATGGGACTTGGGGTGTGGGCAGAGTGGAGCAGCCTCTTGTTGCTCACAGCCAAGTGAGGTTATCTTGAGAACCTCAGGTCACTGCCAGTACCTGAGTGCGGAACATTAACTCTGGGGACGTGGTTGCTGCCCATGTCCTCTGAACACCCCAGAGGACAATAAATAGGGGGTTCAGAGAAGGAAGGGGCCACTGTCAGCTCTCTTGACTTACAGGCTAAGGGAGAGGGGCAGGGTCTTCTAGACTTGGGGGGGAGGTGGGGACACTGGAGAAGGAAGAATGGGGAGGCCAGACAAGCAGATTTGTTGGCATTAGGGACGCCCCAGGGCGGCAATGGAGACAGAGTGCAAAAGTCGTAAGAAGCCAGACTGTGGACCCTGGCGAGTCCTGAATTTTAGGCCCAGGTGGTAAAATGTTACACATGTAATTTGGTCTCCTCCTACCCAGATCTCCTGAGAAATGAGAGTGAATGTCAGCCTGTCATTTGGGACTTCATAATGTATTAGACCTAACCACTATATTCATTTAGTGTTTTATATTACATAAAAATTGATATTGGTTGGAGTAGCTAGAAATACTATATTGGCAGGCCAAGGACATTTATTGTTATGCCTTAACACGAATCATTTACACAGATGTTTGATATAGATACCACACGATAGGAGATAAAAGTCCAAATGATAAAATAGTCCATAATTATTCTCTGGAAATAAAATAATCCAATCCTCTGAGGGTTAGAAAATGCTCGCTTCACTTTCATGGCCTGTTTATTGACTTGAGGTTCAACTTGGCACAGTCTCTGGGAGCGATCTTAATTCTCAGAGGAAGAGATGATTTGACACCCAAAGAGATGGTATCTTCAGCCAGTGTCTGTACATACTGGTTGTTGGTATGCTGGCTGAGAAGTCTTCCTTGCTGTTCAGAGCTAGAGGAGAACAGAACACTTGGGTGTTTGGCTGTTACGCAGTCAAATCCCTCCTGAGCAGAAGTGGTGGTGTGTTTGTGCTATTGTTTCCGAGTGTAGTTCCTTCCCAGCCCAGGCACCACGAGTAGACTGGTCTGTATGGTCTCATTCCCTCTGCTGCCCTGAGCTGGCTTGTGCCTGGGGCTGATGAAGGCAAATATTTTTACTAAGCTAGAGGGAGAACTACTTTTATTCAGCAGAGCAAATTTGAGAAAGAAGCTCAATCCTGGTGTTCTTAGAAGATGCTAGATTTGATTCTTGGCAAATTATCTTTTTGAACAGGTAATATATTTACATGGATCTAAAATATAAAATGGTATGCAATGAAAAATCTCCTTTATTTCCCTGTGCTCTAGCTGTCCATCCCCCACACGCATATATATGAAGCCAGGTTTTCATGTTTTTATATCATTCTTAAAACTACAAACAAACAAGGCTGTGTAGTTTTGCGACCCCCTCACACAGACACATTGTATAGCCCGGTCAGTGCTCCTTAGAGAGCTCTCCTCTATTGCCAGTCTTCCAATAAAGAAACAAAGCATGTTTAATAAAGTTGTGCTGACTAATTTTATAGAAAGTGCTGCTTTGGACTGATGGGGAAACAGATCTACTTGGAATTGAATACCAAAAATAATAGTATTAGTATAGTTTCTGATGAAGGTTTGTGATGATTTTAATGAACCTGGATGTATTAAGGCTACTCTGCCTCTTAGAAATGGAAATAAAAAAAAAAAAACAAACCTCCCAGTGGGTGTGTCTTTGTCCCAGTGTGAGAACTCTTTGTGTGTCCTTTGGCCTGGATCATTTTCAGTCCCTGGCTCCCTTTTTTTTCTCTCTCTCACTCCCCTACTCCTTTCTTAAGTCTCTTACCATCTCCTAGAGCTGGAGCAGTCACTTTCTTCCTGTTTCTTCTATGAGCAGACAGACTGTGTTGACACTTTTTACCACATGGGCCTTTGAAGTTCTTCAAGTTTGGCTCTCCACTCAGAACTTAGTTCTCTAACGGATGCTGTGCCGCTTCAGTGGGGTTAGTTTGTTTAAGTGTAGTGAGAATATGAGGACAATTGGACAACTTGGACTTCATCTCCATAATAATGTAATTTGGGGTGTTGAAATCATGGAGCATTGAACATGTTTTTAAAAGATCCACGTTGAATTAAATGTTTCTCTCCCTTGGAATTCCGCGCCCCCCCCCGCCCCCTAAAAAAGACTTTTGTATTACACCCTCGTCCTTGGTCTTTGTCCCCATTTGTTCCAGATCAGGTAGTAAAAAAAAAGTCCTCGGGTTCTTTAGTGACTTAAGCTGTAAGTGTACAGAGAATGATGACCAGTATTTGGGATGACAAGATGCGATGAGACTATATTAACTTTCTCTTTTCTGAAATCTGTTTCAGCAACTTTACCAGATCCTGACAGATTTTGATATCCGGTTTTATATGTATGAGCTACTTAAGGTAAGTGGCATTCATAAGCAGTGAATTTTTTCAGGTGTATTCGTTAAAGAAGTTTTCGAGAGAATGAAGGGAACTCAGGCACTCTTGATACTTAGAGAATTTAGTGAGATTTTTGTTTTGTTTTGTTTTCATTTTTGTTTTTAATTTTTTTTAAAAGTAGGCTCCATGCCCATCGTGGGCTTGAAATCAAGACCCTGAGATCTAGAGTCATATCATCTACTGACTGAGCCAGCCAGGCGCCCCAAGGCTTTTTTTTGTTGTTTTGTTTTCTTTTTAACTTACATTGAGATCTCTTGTGGGATCTTTACATGGAAACTTTCCAATGGAACTGAGAAAGATGGCCAAGTCAAGAGATACCAGGAACATTATGTGAGAAATCAGAGGCTCCTCTCATAGCTCTTGTTGGCCCTTGGGTTTTCTTTTTGCTGCTTAATTAATACTATTAGTTTTCACTGTATAACACATCACCCAAAACTTAACAATTTTTCAAAAAATTATTCATTATTTCTCCTAATTTTGTGGGTGAGTCTTTTTTCTGGGTCAACTTGACTAGGGCACATTGGTCCAGGATGGCCTCATTCACATATCTGGGATGGCAGCTGGAATACCTGAAGGCTCGTTCTGCAGGGGGTTAGTCTAAGTTACTTCTTTCCATGGTGGTCTTAGGGTTCCTAGTAGCACGAGAGGGCAAAGTTTGATGTGTAAGCGCTTTTCAATTCTCTGCTTGTATCATTGTCTCCTAATGCCCTGTTGGCCAAAGCAAATCCTGGCCAAGCCTAGATTCAAGGAAGGGGGAAGTAGACTTCACCTTTTGATGGGCAGAGCATTAAAATCACGGTGTGGAGGGACATGCCTACTGGGAGGGCAAGAATTTGTGGCCATCTTTCTCTCGCCATCACTCAGAATCCCCTTACCAGTCTACCCTCCAGCCCTGACTGACCTGGACACGAAGGGAGAGGTGATGGGTGGTCCTTCTAGCAGACTTAGTAATCTCCTTAGGTGGAAATTTTGAAGCATTACTGGTTGATGGAGGAATGATCTTTTTTAGTTTGTCTAGGTAAACAGTTAAAGAATTCTAAAATGGCTTGTAAAATGGAATAGACTAATGGCTCCTAATTTGTTTTGAGTCGTGGATCACTAGGAATCTAATGAGAACATATAAACTCCCCCCACCAAATGCCTGTATAAATATATGGTATTACATAAAGTATTATGGGGGGTGTGGCTCTCAATTTAAGAACCTCTGAAAGATAGACATGACTAAGTTACTGGCATTATTGAAGAAGATTGCCAAGATGAAGTCTTGATGGGATTGTGAACAGTTACTTGAACAAAATCCCAAGTTTAATTAAGGCTAAGCTTTAGGGAATGGGGGTTTGAAGAACTAGCTCTGTGAGGTAAATGTATTTTCTTAGAAGTGCTTATACAAACCACTTGTCATTAGTACCAAGGTGGCGGATTTAAGAGTCCACTCTTACAACTAATGGGTCTTTCCTTTGTCAGTAAGATCAGAAACATGTGAAGGTAGAGCTTGGTTCATCACACCTTTCTGCATGTCCTCTCCAGACCAGAATGGAAGGCGTCAGTGGGGAGGGGGTTTGCAGTGCTGTGGTCTTACGAGCTGTCCGGCTAGCTCCTTCCCTGCGGGTGCTTTCCTGAGAACCCCCTGCATCCACCCAATGAGAGCCACAATCCAAATCTCACAATTGGTTATTTTTTTTAAAGTAAGGTGTTAAGATTTTGTGGTTTTCACTTAGCACACCAAAGATGAAGATTGAGAACCTAGCACAGTTGTGCTTAGGTCAAGTGAAGACATCCCGATAATGCAGGTCTTCACAGGCTGGTCATTCAGACAGTACTGCGTGTCTGATTACCCTTCTGCTTTTCAGAGGTAGCGGCTAGGCAGTAGGGACCTTCTTTCTGCTAATGAGGCACAGAACCCCAGAGGAAGCTAGAAAAATGTCTTTCATGCGTAACGGTCAGATAATACCAGATTTTGAAACTGAAATAACTCCCCTAAGGAACTTAAAAGCATGTCCGCGACTCCACAGGGAGTCCGACTAGTGAACTTGGCAAAAGAATCAATTCCTTTACTATACTTGTTCAGCCTCTGCTCTCCTCAAGTGTTTCTCACATCCCAGGTATTATGGTCCTAATTAGTTAATTCCTTTGGGCAAAGACTAGGCAAAATAACAGAATCAACACTTGCTAAATTTTCTCTTTGAGGGGGGAACAAAATGGGGATGAGGAAGAGGAAATCTGCTTCATGGAAAATGTAGAAGAAATTGAGACGAGGGCTATTGAGTGGTTCCTGGGTACACAGTGCGGTCTCCCGATTCAGATCCGGGGAGGTCTATCCCCAGGAGCCCTGGTTTCGTAAGGCACTGCCACAGAGCCATTGTGGAATCTTGCTACACCTGTTGTTGTGAAACAAAACAAGGACAAAAGTCAAATTGAAGTAGAACTTCCATAAATGAATAAATCTTTTTTTTTTTTTTTAAAGATTTTATTTATTTATTTGACAGAGAGAGACCCAGAGGGAGAGGGAACACAAGCAGGGGGAGTGGGAGAGGGAGAAGCAGGCTTCCTGCCCTGCCAAGCAGGAAGCCCGATGTGGGGCTCCATCCCAGGACCCTGGGATCATGACCTGAGCCAAAGGCAGACGCTTAATGACTGAGCCACTCAGGCACCCCCATAAATGAATAAATCTTAAGTGTACAGGTTTTTGAGTTTTTACATAAGTGAAACCTTCACTGAGATTTATATATTGCCATGCTGCTGTCCAGTACAATAGCTGTTGCCCACAGGTAGCTATTTAAATTTTAATTAAAATTTAAAATTCTGTTCCTTAATCACAGTAGCCACATTTCAAGTGTTCAAAGGCCTCACGTGGCTAGTGGCTACCACGCTAGATGGTGCAGATACAGAATATTCCTGTCATTGCAGAAAGTTCTGTTGGACAGGGCTGGTAGAGAATATTATGAATACCCCAGAAGGCTCTCATACGCCCCTTCTCTTCAGGATCCCCTTTTCTGAAGATATTCTTCTCACTCCTACCACCATAGTTTAGTTTTGGCTGTTTTTTAACCTTCATCTATAAAGCATCATACACGGTCTACTTTTTTGTGTCTGGGGAAAGCAAAATTTGTTTATTCCTGGAATGCTGATCCTAGGGATCATTCTCTGACCTAGTCCAGTGGTTCTCAACCAGGTCAATTTGGCAAAATCTGGAACCATTTTTGGTTGTCACAATTGGGGAAGAGTGCTACTGGCATCTGGTGGGCAGAGGCCAGGGATTCCTTTAAACATCCTGCAGTGTGCAGGACAGCTCCCCACAACAAAGGATTATCCAGAGTTCAAAATGTCCAAAATGTCAGCAGTGCCGAGGTGGAAAAACCTTATCTTGTCCTGTGGAAAACTCCCCTAAAAGCACTCCGTGCCAAGCCCGTAGTAGGAAGCACAAGATGATGGGTTGCTGTGATTATTATTACCTAAGGAGTAAATCATGGCACTCAGATAGGCTGCAATGCTTTTTAAGACAAGCCAGAGGGCCTAATTTGAAACGTATGGGAATGGTTACTATGTTCAGAAAGGGAGAATTAGAAGCAAGTATTTGTATTATCTAAAACAAACCACCCAAAGAAAAAATGGTAAAAAAAAAAAAAAAAAAAAAAAGGTAAAGATTTGAATCCATATTTGTCCAGAGAAGATACAGGATGATCACTAACACCCAAAAAGATGTCAACTTGATGACCCAGTTAGGAAATACAATTCAAATCCACAGTGAGGTCCCACTTCAGGCCCACCAGAACGGCGGTAATCCCAAGGGTGAAACAGTTACAAGTTGTTGGCGAGAATGTGGCAAAACTGGAACCTTCCTGTGTGACTGCTGGGGATGTGAAATGGAGCAGGCACTTTGGAAAACAATTAGGCAGACTCTTAAAAAGTTTGATGTAAACTAACAGCTCAGCACTTCCACCTTCAAGAATCTGTGTAAGAGAAATGAAAGCCTGGGTCCTCTCAGAGACCTGCATGTAAATATTCATAAGCAGCGTTATTCATGATAGCCCCAAACTGGAAACAACCCAGATGTCCATCAACTAGTACAGCCCTACAGTGGAATACTACTCAGCAAGAAAAGGGGAACACCGATGAATCTCGGCAACATTATGCTGAGGGAAAGAATACTGTATATTGTATTATTTCATTTTATGAATGCCCAGAAAAGGGAGATCAGTAGTAACAGCAGGTTTGTGGTTACGGCTGAGGTAGGGGGCAAGGGGGGATGGGGATTGATCACAGGCAAGCTGAAGGGGAATTCTTGGGATGGTGGCAGAGTTCCAAGACTGGATTGTGGTGCTGGTCACACAACTCTGTGAATGTGCTGCTAAAAGAAATCATTGACTTGTACGCTTAAAATCTTATCTGCATATCATCTATCTTGTAGGAAGCAATATCTTCCTTTAGAGTAAAAATAGAATTCTTAAAGGCCCCTGGCTCAGGGGTTGTTTTTAAAAGAAAATACTAATACTAGAATACTTGGTAATCTCGAAGGTCCACATGGGGGACTGGGCTAAAAGACAAGCCACGTTGAATGACATGTTGTGATGTCATTCTTCATCCCCACCAGGGACTGTTGCGTGCCATTTGAACCATGGTGAGAGGGACTCTAGTGAGTTTCCCAGATCTGGTTTTAAACCCATCGAGTTAGACCAACAGATTAATGTAGGATTTCTAAATCCAGGTGGCTGGTGAAGTGTTACCTACTAACACCTAAGTAGGAAGAATCTCCGTGTCCCCTTCCTAACATAGCCCCCTTTCCACCAGCTGCCAGCCTAGTGTGCACAGAGAGCAAGGGGGGCCTTCTGAAGCATGCCTGATCTCCTCTGTTACAGACAGTAAGCTGCCCCTTGGGAGACTGTATCCAAGTCAAGCTGTCACAAATAATAGGAATATGCTTGCATTGGGGGTTGGTAGATGGTTTGCTTACTTTTCTGTGTGCTTTCTTATCTCATAGGCTCTGGATTACTGCCACAGCAAGGGAATCATGCACAGGGATGTGAAACCTCACAATGTCATGATAGATCACCAGCAGAAGAAGGTACCATTGCCGCCAGGAAGCAACAAGGCTTTCCGTGGGAAGCCTAGGGCAGACCACAACACTGGCCAGTACCTAGGTGGTACTGCAGACCCGTTGACTACTTTCTTCGGCAGACTTGTGTTACTGTTACCTCTTCAGTCTCCAGTGTTGCTTTCTACTTTGCATAAGCATGGTACACAAGGAAAGCAGACAGCCGAGCCTCACTGTAGTCCCTTGTTTGTTTTGGTCATGGTTTTCCGGAGGGCCTCGCAAAGAAACTCCAGCTGGTGGTTTCTACTTCTTCTAATGATCCTCAGACCAATCTATCTGCCTGGCCTTAAAAGTACACTTGAGTCCCTCCTGTTTTTGATACCCAATTCTGGTTGTCCCTGGTTGGTGAGTAAACAAATCAGCTACTAGGAGGTGAACGAAAAGCTGGAGCAGTGCTTCAATCCTGGACTGGGGCCTGCGTCCCCAACCCTTTCAGTTGTGGCTAGAGCTTATAATGGAGGCTGTTAATGACGGGCAAGTGTGTTACACACGCCAGTGATACGGACAGAGTGAAAAGCTTAAGCTTGATTGATCTGAAGCGGATGATAAGCCAGGATCATTTAAATTTTAAAAAAAGAAAAAGCACATAAGATTCTGAGTGCGCTGCTCTAGAAGTGACCTCTTCCACAATTGCTGAAAGTGTAATTTTTGCCAGTGCACTTGCTAACATTTTTCATGTGGCCCACGTAATTGTTAGCTAGTGTGATGTGGCCTTGTTCTAAGGCACGGGCGTCTAGAATCACTCCTTTACGTGTTTGATTTCTGTCATGTTTGTAGCTGCGACTGATAGACTGGGGTCTGGCAGAGTTCTACCATCCTGCTCAGGAGTACAATGTCCGTGTAGCCTCGAGGTACTTCAAGGGCCCAGAGCTCCTTGTGGACTATCAGGTAAAACTCTTAGCCAAGCACCTCCGCCTTCTTTGTGTGTTTCCTTAGGACTTCTCCTCATTTGCTGTTTAGTCAGTCAGTTTGGATATATTCAAAAGCCCAGCCCGAAGCGATAATTTCAGACTTTTCTCTGTGACTTTTTTTTTATTCCTTTGAATTCTAAAATATGTGCAAAGGTCAACTAAAGACTAGAAATCCAGATCAGAGAAACACATTTGTAATACCCTTCACTGACAGGCTGACCTTATTTCCCCAGATGTATGATTACAGCTTGGACATGTGGAGTTTGGGCTGTATGTTAGCAAGCATGATCTTTCGAAAGGAGCCCTTCTTTCATGGACAGGACAATTACGACCAGGTGAGCAAACACTGACTGGCTCTTCTCCCATGTGGGGGCAGATGCCAAGAAAATGGAGTCCTATGACAGGGATGCTATCCTCGAGCCAATATCACTCGACGTCTGCACAGAAGTTTTCCTTCAGGATAAAGAGTTTCATGACATTTTGTCTGTGGTTACCAGGTCCCCAAATGTAGAGAAAGATAAAGCTCTCTTATGCCCAACTTCAGAGTGAGTCTGTGAAGAAGTCAGGCAGTCCTTGTCTAACAAAACCAGACTGTAGTCATTAGATTGTGATACCCCCACAATTGGTCAACTTCTGGGAGATTATTGTCGTAAGTTGTTACCATTTTAAAGGCAGTTTGGAAATTGGATTTCTGTGAACATCGTGTCCTGGGGTCTGCCGTCTGTCGGCCCCAGGCTCCAGCCTACATCTGGTCCCTGAGGACTCAGTGATGTGGAAGTCCTCGATGCCTTGGAATAGCATCCTCAACAGGCTTGCAGTGAGCTCTGTGCTCAGTGATTTGGTCAGTTTGTTTTGTGTTTCAGCTTGTTCGCATTGCCAAGGTTCTGGGTACAGATGAGCTGTATGGGTATCTGAAGAAGTATCACATAGACCTAGATCCACACTTCAACGATATCCTGGGACAGTAAGTAAGAGAGAGGGCGAGAGAACGAGGGTTTTAGCGTACCCCATTTCAGAAGTGTGACTGTTCACCAAAATCGCTTGCTAATCATAGCAAAATTAAAATCTCCTCCTTTCTTCCCGTATTTTTTTTTTTTTAACTTGCTTTGAGGTATTTGGGAATTGTTTACATGTATCTTCTGATCATTGTACTTCTCTAAGAGATAACCTATCAGTCAGTAGAAAACGGAAGACAAAATTCTGTTACAGAAAAAAGCTTTCTGATACAGCATATGCTTATTTTAATGGAAAATCTTAGAAAGCTGTGATTCTTTTTTGAGTAAGAGATTTATAGTTTTTTCTTGTTCTGTGTAATGTATTTTCTACAAGGTAGCAAATTTTAAAGCCTATTTGCAGGTACAGTGCAATAGTGTTGATGCAATAGTGTTGAAAAGTAAATGCGCTGACAATTTTCAAACAGTGTTTTATGGAGCCTCTATGTTTCTGAGGCTAGCTCTCTAAATATTTCTGCTGAACAGCAAAAATAACTCTGTCCCCTCTGTGCCTCGCCAGAATGGACTAAAAGCCTGAGGCATAAGAAGTGATTTAAGAAGGTGCCACAAATTCTAAATCAGATGTCGAAGTTTTCACTCCTTTTATTTATCAGTCTGAGAGCACGGTTTTTGTTTCAGGATGCTGCGAGTGGCCCTGTGGGGGTGGGGCAGATACCAGTGAGAAGGAGATTTAACGAGCTTGAAATCAGCGCAGTCAGTATTCTAAGATTTTGTTGCCTTTAGCCCTAGTAACATCAGGATTCTTGTTGAATAGACTCTCGGTACTAATGCTTCCCTTTCCTTCTCAGACATTCACGGAAACGCTGGGAAAACTTTATCCATAGTGAGAACAGACACCTCGTCAGCCCCGAGGCTCTAGATCTTCTGGACAAACTTCTGCGATACGACCATCAACAGAGACTGACTGCCAAAGAGGCCATGGAGCACCCGTACTTCTGTGAGTCTCCAGGGATGTAATTTATTAAAGGAAAAGTTCTTCTGTTCTTTATCTTTGAGGCCAGTCAAGAGAATTCTAGGTATTTGGATTGACTCTTCCTTGGAATTTGTCCTCATTAGTTCTAGACTGTTGAGACAGCTTTGCAGTTCCGTTTTTTGATCTGCAGAGGTGTTTGTCCACTGCCTTAGCTCCTTGAGTCTGGTCTGCGGACCATTCCCTGTGGCCCTGAGTTGATAGATCACAAGTACCTAAATGTTGTTTTCAAATATATACGTCTGTGTGGAAACCTAATCAAAGATATTTTCCCCTCAAAAAACAAGTAGTTAGTTAAAAGTAATGAGGTGACCGTAGTATATATATGTTTTGGTTTTTTTTTTTAAAGATTTTATTTATTTATTTGACAGAGAGAGACAACAGCGAAAGAGAGAACACAAGCAGGGGGAGTGGGAGAGGGAGAAGCAGGCTTCTCGCCGAACAAGGAGCCCGATGCTGGGCTCGATCCCAGGACCCTGGGATCATGACCTGAGTTGAAGGCAGATGCCTAACGACTGAGCCACTCAGGCGCCCCCGTAGTATATTTTTAAAGAAGGAAATGAGTTAAATAAATAAAAGGAACTTGAAGAAAGGAAAGCAGGTGTGGAAAGACCCCACTAGGGCGCCTGGGTGGCTCAGTTGGTTAAGCGTCTGCCTTCAGCTCAGGTCATGATCCCAGGGTTCTGGGATCGAGCCCCGTGTCGGGCTCCCTGCTCAGCAGGAAGTCTGCTTCTCCCTCTGCCCCTCCCCCCTCTCATGTTCTCTCTCATTCTCTCAAAGAAATAAATAAAAGATTAAAAAAAAAAAAAGACCCCACTAAAATCCTACCTCAGTTAAAGATTTTTTAGGCCTCACTTCCAAGTGTGTGTATTGTATTCAATGCCTGTGGTTGCGTATTGTCTGCATGTGTACAGCCCTTCCCCCCGAAATAAAGTATGTCTCAAATAAACTTTCCCCTTAATTGCTGGCAACATAAGATGACTTAGTCCAGGCACAGAGGAGACTGGGGATAAAGGTTATGGGACCTGTCTCAGCTCACTCTCTGAATGGAGAAGAAAACCTTCAGCCTGTCTGTTGGCTTGTCCAGTATGGGATCTTCCTTTCTTTTCTTTCCGTCTGGAGATTAAGCAGATCTTACCTGAATAATATAAATCTTGAACCTGTCCGCCCATAAGCATTAGTAGACAACAAATTGGAAAGGTTTTACCCTTTGGCCTTCTAGACCTCGGACAAGTGCACCTCAGGGGTCCTCTTTCCAATTTCTGCCACCGAAAGCTATTTTCACCCTTTGAGTTAGATCCAATTAAGAATTCTGGTGTTTGCAATATGTAATTCATGATCCGTCCACTTTTCTGAATACACATCTTCTGTATTAAAAAAAAAAAAAGTGTTTCAAATGACTGTCGCTTAAAATTGATAGGTCTTCTAATGGCTCTTTTCATTCCTTTGCTCCAAAGTGCTCATTACCGCACATGATTTGAAGAAATTGGGGGTTGGATCTGACATTAGTATTCAAGGAAAATAACACATAAGAACATTAGTAGTGATTTTGAACAGTGGGAAGTCAGTGTTTGTGGGCCTCTCTTCTCCAGGAGTCTCCATAGTTGAACTTGCCCTCTGAGGGCAGTGCAAGAGTTGACTAGAAGAGCAGACTCCCCTGATTATTTTTCAGTGTCTGATTTTTCTCTCACCTTAGTTCTGTAATTTCTTTTGCCCTTCTGACCCTGGCTTTCTCGTCAGTCTGTCAGTCTCGCTCTATCCCACTGCGGAAGGGGGTTTGTCATGATGGTGTCTCCCACACCTTCCAGCCCGGATTCGCCTGACTTCCATCCTGTTTTCTTGCAGACCCCGTGGTGAAGGAGCAGTCCCAGCCCTCTGCAGACAATGCTGTGCTTTCCAGTGGCCTCACAGCAGCCCGGTGAACACTTGGAAGGCGACGGGTAATGCGGCATTGATGCTTGCCAATAATCCAACCAACCAAACACAAATCTGGAAGGAAAACTACAATGTGATAAAAAGAAATTCTAGTCATTCCTTCTAAATGCAAAGAAGAGTAAAGACCTAACTGTCTGTCAAAAAGCAAGAAATCCCCCAGTACTAGTTTGCAGGGAGCTGCCGCCACGGCAGCGTGACGATGCACATAGTTCAGGACCTGAGGGAACGCTCCCTTTGGAATGCATGGGAGATGAGAGACTCGGAGTTGTTGTACATTTACCTTTATTTAACAGGAGACCACTGTTGAATTAACCCGTTCAGTCAACAAGCTCTGAATATCTGACTTCCTATCTATTCCACTGCGGTCTGGGTTTCCTTCGGTGAGATTCAGCCTCAAGTTTTAGCAAAATGTCAGCAGTCTATACTGACACACCAGCCTCATTTACGAAAAGGAGATATTAAAACAGTGACAGTATTTTTTTTTTTAAGCTCTTTTACAAATTCATGTTTTATGTATTTTTTTATGACATGAGCTCTCTAGGAAATGTACGTCATCCCTGCAGTTTTCTTCTGAGTGTATTCATTTGGGAGCAAACTGCAGTCACTCACAAGAGGCCCCTTTGCCGTCAGCAGGCATCACTTGAAACCTTGTGACGCCGTGAACAGGTCCATCTGTCTCCTCAGAAGTTTGATGCGAAGTGCATAACTTGGAGCTCACTGTAACCTTCGTTGATTTGCCTAACCATAAAATCTTGTTGCTATTTTTTCCGTGTAGCCTTTTTTTTCCTTTTGCAGCCTTGTAAGGAAAACCTCACCATTTCCCAGCACATACATCCCAGTGTGTGTGCCTGTTTTCGTGCACCTCTCTGAAACAGAGGCTTTTTGGTCACAACCATAATGAAAGCTGGAAAGTCGGTCTTCAGGCAGGTTAGGGAATGAGAGAAACATCCTATTAGAATGTATTTAGGAATGACCTATTGGGTGAGAAAAATGTACTCCCACCCCCCACCACCACCCTTTTTTGCCTCTTTTTATCCCCACAAGAAGCAATTTCCCTCTGTAATCAGGGTAAGCTGCATCTTGACACTCCGAAAGGTCATGTGTGAACGTGATGGCAGAGCTGTCCTTCTCATGTGCAGGGACTGGGGTCATGTGTGCAGGGCCAGCCTGTTCCCCGAAGCCTGAGCAGAGCATCATACAAGGGGCCTGGGGGGTTAGTTGGAGTTCCTAGAGCCAGTGTCAAAGCTCAGGATCCATTGTGCCAGCCTCGTGTCAGCAAAGGAAGCTAGATTCTGCTTTGAAAAGAAAATAGTCAAGCTGATTTCATTTTGGGGACTTGTCACCAGTCTGGTTTGCAAGCAGTCCCCTCCCCCAGCAGCAGAACCATGCCACAGCTGTGGGGACTTTACAGCTAGGCTAGAGCTCGAGGTGTCTATCCACATCAGACCATAGGATTTCTTTATTAGCTATTTAATAATGCCATACATTTTTATAAGGTTAGATTGTTTGAAAACATCTGTTTACATTCCATATTCCAATAAAATCGTATTGGTATTGGTAGCAGGTCCTATCTCTAAATGTAGATTGTATTTTTGTCGTTTGGTGGGTGGGAATTTAAAATGCAAATAAAACTCTTAACTAGAGTTGAGCTTACAGATTGAAAATTAAAAATAAGACCCCAAAGCCAGAAAATGCATTCAGTTAAGATTCTCATACCAATACTACCTGCCTGTATTGCACATTCTGTATATTGAGGTATACATTTGTTCTACTTGAAAATCAAAGCCACGGCATGAGCTCTCAGCTGGACCTGTATTGGCATGTCAGGCCAAGGAAGCCTTCTGATGTGCCCTTCTAGGCAACACTGTTGGCAATTATCAGGGAGATGTGCCACTTTGTGTCTTTTTTGCCCCCTACCTCTCATCTCCTCCTCTGTCACTCACTCTCTCCCCTCCCACCTTTTTTTTTTTTTTTTTTAAGTTGCCTGTCTGGACCAGGCAGGGGGAGCATACCGGAGGGTCTCGGTGAAGTAGTAACCCTGTTTCTTTCCCTTGGGCTCCCCAGAGGCAGTGAAAGCACCTAGAGGAGTATAGTCAGGTGATGGACGTACCGCCTCTCTCCGTTGATCACGGGTTAGTCGGTGCAGACACAGCGGACCTGCCTTTCCTGGGGCTCCGTGACTGCAGCTTTGGCACGGGAGTAATTCTGGTTTTTGTGCATGGTTTGCTTCTCCACCACCTATGCTTTCCACTTCTCTTCCTGCCTTAGCATGACTGAGTTTAAAATGCCCGCCCCTTTCTGAGTCTGGTCTTGACACCTAGCTGGCTGGCTGGCTGGCTGTAGGTTGTTCTTTCCCAAACTGAAGTGAGTCCAGTCCAGACCTTTTCTCTTACCCATCTCCAGAGCCATTTTGTGGTCAGATGGACCTAGCTCCCCCCGAGATTTCAGAGTACTTAACCTAGGCTAGGAGATGGTCATGGAGAGTTCCAAAAGTGGGCGGGGGAGGGGGCAGGGAAAGAAGAAGGGGAGAGAGAGAGTGTGTGAGTGAGTGAGTGTGTGTGAATGAATGAGTGGGAGTCTCCTCTCAGACTCAGCTCTGGTATATTGACCCACCCAATACCCTTTTCGGTCAGCAGATTTATTTCTTAAGTTCATCTCAGTATTTTTGATTAGCCATTTTGTTTGCTTTGTTACCTTCTAACTGGTTAAAAGTGCCTATGATGAGGACTTCGTTATTTCCTAAAGAAAAGCAAAAAATGTGGGGAACAGGGTAGTGTTACACTATCATCTCAGGTCCTGCCTGTGTTCGACAACATAGGCCTGGTATGGTGAGAACAAAAAGTTCTTATGCCAAATACAGATCGGTCTGTCAGGGCTGATGGGCCACAAGTGAGCGTAAGTGCAAGGCTTGGCTTCAGCTGACAAGTCCCATGGCGAGAGCAGAACTGATGAGATGCCAAGTGATCTTTTCATCTGCAGGTTGCTTGCAGTTCGCTCTCCCCTGGATCGTATCAGCTGCCCGCTCCTGTGCCGTCCCTGTGGGAGGGGACTGGGTGGGAGAAGCCAAGCGGACAGTGCAGACCAAGCATTCCTGGGTCTTCTCACCGATGACAGCAGGGCCGATGGCGGCTCTCGGAGGCAGGCGCCTACGCACCAGCCACCACGCCAGGTCTAACAGACATTTTCTAGCACATGACTGCTCACAAGGCTCAAAGCTGCTGTGTTCCCTTGCAGAGAACGAGGTGACTCGGACTGCTTGGCTGGAGAAGGCAGAAGAGCTTGTAATCCTTGGGGGCTCAGGCAGGAGGTGGTTAAAAGAAAGGGAACCAATAAGAAAAACAGTCAAAGGGTAGATCTTGAGGGAGCGTGACGTCTTGAGAGAGTTAGGGGACACCACCTTCATGAGCTGGAATTGGGTCCTGAAATAGGCACGACGCCTGGAGTGGTTCCAGCGGGACCGGAAGGTGGTGCCCTCGAGGCAGATGCCCAGTCCCAGAGAGCTGGCGGCCGTGGGTCTCAGCCCACACCAACTCAGGGAAATGACTTAAATTCTCCCAGGTGCTGTAGTAAGGATGGAAGCAAAACTATTTGGGGAACACAAGCAGCAACTGGAAGAATTTTTATATATGCATTGAAATGGTTCTAAGAGAGCCCACTTAGCCGTTTCCCTTAATGCCAGTTCAGACCGCACGATTTGTTTAGAAACCTGTGTTACTGCATGAGCACCCACAGGAAAAAGCAAACTTCCCGCCTACAAATAAATAGGGGTGGATAATAATGGAGCAGAGTTAAGGTCATTGAAATCTAAGCCATTCCAAAAGCAAAAGCAGGGTCCACAGGAGCACACGAGAAGCCAGAGTTTGTCAGCGAGCTTAATCAATCTAAGATGGCATAACGTCCTGCTTTTAAAAAACTAACCCCAGGGTGGGAGTGGGGGAGGGGAAGCTGGTGGTGCAACATCTGGCCAAGAAAACCAGTAATAACATACTTTTGAGCTCTGTGGATGTGTTCATGGAAACAACTACGAGCAGGTGCCGAGGAGGCTGGGGAAAGTGATGTGATGGGTTATACAGCTGATGAGATGAGTACTTCTTTGTAGAGACTCAACAATGTGCTACAAATGTGATACTTAATCCTGAACTGCATGTATTGGGGATTGTTAAAAAAAACTTTCATTGAATCAATAAATTAACAGTTTTGCACTTGCTGGCTTTTCTTGCTGTAAATGGTGACTAAGAGGTTGGGACAGAAATCTTGACACCCCATGGAAAGCTTGGATAAATCTTCAAGACCCGTGGAGCCAACTCTTTCCTTCTGTTTGCAGGAAAGCACCACTGCGTGGGTTGTGATCCTTTCCAAGTGACCACTTGCGACACACTTGGCCACCTCTTTGTATCCCTGGATGACTGATGTATGACTGATGCCCTGCTGCCCTTAGATGAAAGACAAATGCCGTGTTCAAGCTTGTTTTCATAAATAAAAATGTTGATAACCACCACCTTCCCAAGCGGGAGACCAGCCACTGCTCTGGGGACCTTAGGCTTGCGTTTCCTGTGTCTTGGGGGAGAGGCGGGGTACACCTTGAACTGCAAAGATGCATGCATGGGGGATGCAGTGAATCCCCACCTTCGTGTGGAACTTTGCTTTATCGAGAGAGGCGGGGCCAGAGTGGTATCCCGGTGGGGTGCGTGCGGTTCCTTGGTACTTGCTTCCCCCTTGGGCACCTGCTTCTGGGACTGGCCCATTTCCGTGCGCAACTTTCACCTCTGTGGCAGAGTGCTCTGCGTTGATGAACATCTCTCTCCGCCCCCATTCCGTGCATCACAAGCAGGCACACGCTATTGTGTGTCTGCATTTGGCAGATGGTGGTGTCTTTAATTAGTGTGCTTTTCCCTGACGGATCCCTCTGTGGCGCTGGATGTTTGGAAATCAGTTGCTGAAGTGCTTAAAGGCAAATAGTCCTTCCTTTCTTAACCTTCCGCGCCATGTGGCCTTTATCAAGAACGTAGAACCCTTCCTTGATCCAGGGAAAGTTTTCATGAAACGTTTCTGTGACGGCTTCCCGGGGGCACAGTCCCTTCTCTTGTTGCTGTAGTGCCGATCTCTGAGACACTGCTTCTAGAATTCTGCTGCTGGCCTCTCACCGCCCACTTCACTGTGCTGGACATGGAAGGAGAAATGGGGTTTTCAGGCCATGCCACACTGCTACTCCCAGGGGAGAGTTAAAAAATATTTGAGCTCCCTTTTTGCTCTTTGTTTATTAGTGGACTCAGCGCTTTCCTGGCGTAAATACAGTCATCTGATTATTAGTCCCGAGATGTCCTCAGTAAATTGGGTCAGGGCTGACGGGGATCTGGGGTTGGACTGCTGAGCTTGTGGCTCGGCTGGCGCAGAATGGTCAAGAGGCCTCTGTGCTTCTAAATCCGTGTTCTGGACCCAAGAGGTGGGGAGGAGGCCTGGGGGACACACTCGATATCCGGAGCTTTCCCCTTGCTCTTCCCGGAAGACCATGCCTAAGACCGCTTCTGTGAGTGGTGATCACAGGAGGAAGAGGGTATTGCTTGAAACCTGAGACCATAAAGGTAGCTCTTACTAGGTTTTCCACAAAGTGGCATGGGAAAGTCCAACTTGCACAGTGCTCCCAGCACTTCCAGAGAAGGAAGCCACAGGCAAGTGAAGGCCTGTCCTCACTCCGGGTCAGATTGATTAATGCCGTCTTTCCCCTCCTCCCGTCTCTCTCCCCAGGTCTGTTGCGGTTCCTCCCACTTTTCCATAAGCAGAACAAGAACCAAATCAAACGTCTTAACGTGTGTAGAGAGATCACGTTCCGTGAGCAGACACAAAATGGTGGCAGGTTTGGCCAGCACGAACCAGACCAACCGAAGGGCAGCCCACCACCGTATATCAAACCTCACTTCTGAATGTAAAAGGTTCACACGCCTTTGGCTTCCTGTTGACTTCCTCCTGACCCAGAAAGCATGGGAAATGTGAAGGGTATGCAAAATGGTTGTTGGTTACTGTTGCCCCCCTGCGCCCCCTTGACTCAGCCTGTGGCCACCTGTTTTTCCAGCAGACCACGGTAACTAGCCAACCACAGACTCCACAGTGGGGACACGGGGGCAACATATGGCATGACGGGCAGTTACATATTATAATTTTAAAAGTATATATTATTGAATAAAAGGTTTTAAAAGAAATGTATGGAGAGTTTTCAGTGTGGAAGGGGCCATGAACCGAGACCCGTGGCCACAGAGGACTGAGTGAAATAGAAGAGCATTCGTGCCAGGTTCTAGCCAGAGGAAAGCAGGGGGAGTCCCGGGGGTGAGGAGGGTCAGTTTGAAGGAAGCTCTTGACCAGAGATGAGAAGTTGAACAGGTATCGTGAACTACTCCTGGGAATGGGGCAAACTGCAGGTGACTGCAGTAGACGGGGCGAGCCAGGAGAGCCATGTTTTCCCTTGACCCTTCTAACCCAGTGACTAAGTGGTAAACAAATGTCACCTCTAGTGATCTCCGGGGGATGCCTTAGCCCCTTATTTGCTTTCCTATTGCTGGGGTCTCCATAGTTCATTCTGCCTCCCCATCCGGCCCCTCTTCCCTGTGGCCCCTTCTGGAAAAGCGTCTTACCTTGGAGGCTGGTTGAGTCTGCGGTTGTGCAGCAGGGAACGGGTCAGGGGTCTCAGGTCCAGATCCAAGGGCTGCTTCTTGTGGCCTTCAGAAGCTCCCATGAGCTGGAAGGAAAAGCGGCCTGGTCGGCTGTGAGAGAGGGTACGATGGAAGCACCGGTTAGATTTGTTAAGTGAAAACGAGACCCGCTTTACAAAGCAGCCTTCCCCAGCTCCCTCGGGCCTGCCGTCCAGGACAGCCGTGCCGCGGGGAGCTAAAAGCAGCCTCAACCTGGTGGCCGCCAGCTTTGCCTCTGGCTGTGGCCTGCGCCCTCCCACAGCCTGTCGCGAGCAGGGGTGCCGGGCAGACCCCGATGCCCACACGCCTAGTTCCCCACAAAAGCCACTTGGTCCCACAACATTCCTCCTTCTGTCTTTGCTGCTTGTCCTGAACAGGTGACTGTGGGAACCCAGGTGTGGACACTCACAGTTTCTGAAGCAGTTGTGGGGGGAAAGCAAAGAGGCCCCTCGGGGTCACCACGGCGTCAGTGTCCCTTGGAGCAGCCTCTGTCGTCTCCAAGCAGTTCCACGGGTGTGGGAGCCCGGGACGCCAGCGAGGAGGGCCCACAGGCCCACTGCCAGCAGACTTTGTAAGGCCAGCAGGACGCCGAGCGGATGGACTTGGGACTTTTCCAGCAGCATCGCGGGCCTGGTTTTCTCACGCGGCCCTTTTGACTCAAGTCTCTGCAAATTTCTCGTGGCCTCCCAGGACTCTGGGAGACGGTGTCTCCATACCTCGACATCATGAGCACACCCCCGGAGCTCCTGCAGACCTGGTGCTTTGTGTGTGCGTTTATCTACACAGCACATCACCTCCGTGTTTACCTGCCAGCGTTTGAGAGCCTTCCTGGATGAGAAGGGTCTCTTCAGAGTAGATGTTGTTGATGGACTTGGGAATTCTTAGATGCCATGCAGAACTTGAATGCTAGCTCCCCATTTACCTTCTCAACCAAGGTGCTCTTTAACTTCCCCGTGGGAAAGTCTGGTTTTCCAGAAACCTCTCAGGCGTATCAGATAAGTGTCTTTTTTGTCGGTGATTACTACTGGGTGGGAGAGAGTTTGTGGAATGAAGGGAAAGGAGACGTTTTTGCTTAGGCTTTTTTGACCTTGAGAGAAGGGGACAAGGGACCTGCTTACCCAAAAACAGTCTATAAAGCTCATCCACAACGTGCTTGGAAATCCAGAACATCGATTGACATCTTTTCAATGCTCCTGCTTGAGTTTGGGCTGTTTAATGTTTGTTTAACTTTCCTGACCACCAAAGTAATAATACGCTCATGGCAAAAAATTCAAATGTTACCTAAAGGTCAATCATGAAACCTTCCCCCACCGCACCCGCACCCCCCCATCCCATCACATACACACACATACGAAAACTCTTTCCTCTGGAGGTAGCTGTGGTTACATCTGGCGTATACCTTGCGATTTTTTTCCTTCATGTTTACTAACAGTTAAAAAATCATGATGATTTTTATTTTTACAGATATGTCACCAGGCTATACATTCTTTTTTTGCAACTTGTGCTTTTCCTGAGTTGTGACAATTTCACTGTTAGCACGTATAGATCTACCTCACCCGTTCTCGCGGCTGGGTGGTGTCCCGGTGTGTGACCTACCAAAGGCAAAGCAGTCTGATGATAGACTCTCAGCAGAGCTAGTCCCAGTACTGCTGCAGTGAACACATTTGCACATACATTTTTACGCAGTACATTGTGTTTGTGAGATAAAATCCTAAAAAGGAATTACTGTGCCATATGTTTTGTTTTGTCTTAGGCATTGCCATGATTCAGAGAAAGCAGCCTTCTCTTTCCTTCCCTCCCTGGTGTAGGTTGGAACCGTGATGCCTTTAGCCATGGAATTCTTGTGGGGCTCTGTTAGGCGCTTGGGACACGGTGCCCAGAGTCGTTGAGCTTTCCATCAAAGCAGGAATGTTTGAAACCTGGGGAAAAAAAAAAAAAAAAGGTGTTGGCGCTCCCATAAGAAAGTTATAAAATGAAAAATTAATAAATGTAATTACATGTCTTTCCAATCCTATGAGCTTCATTGTTATTTGCTTTAAAAAAATATTTTTCTCATGATAGTGAAGTGTCGCAATCACCAAATCAAGTAATTTCAAAAGCAATTTTTAAAGATCTTTTCAAGAAAATACAGGGGAAAAGTTACCTTAAATATGAAAAATGGCTACCTTTTAATATATTTGAAATGCTTTGGGGAAGCCTTCAAAAGTAAGCATGCAGAGGGGGCGCCTGTGTGGCGCAGTCGTTAAGCGTCTGCCTTTGGCTCAGGTCATGATCTCGGGGTCCTGGGATTGAGCCCCACATCGGGCTCCCTGATCGGCGGGGAGCCTGCTTCTCCCTCTTCCACTCCCCCTGCTTGTGTTCCCTCTCTCCCTGTGTCTCTCTCTGTCAAATAAATAAATAAATCTTAAAAAAAAAAAAAAAAAAAAAGCATGCAGGGGGCTGGCAAGTGTTACAAAATATCCCTGGGCAGAGGGGTGGGTATAGAATGGTGGAGCAACACTTTGAGGAATATGCAGCAAGCTTTTAAAATGTCCATTTCAAACGCATGGTGCTAAGTGAAGAAGCCGGACTCAAAAGGCTACTTACTAATTCCATTTATATGACATTCTGGGAAAGGCAAAATGTAGGAAATGGAGAACAGAACTGTGGTTGCCAGGGATTCATCATGGCGGTTGGGGGGTGATAACAGGAGAAAATTTGGGGGTTGATGGAACTGTCTGTATCCTAAATATGGCGATGGTTATATGACTCGGTGCCTTTATCAAAACTGTACACCCCCCCCCAAAAAGGTACATTTTACTGTATGAATTAAAAAATAAAATTTAAAAATAACAACGTGCAGGGGCCCAACAGAGTCCATTTGAACTTCACTCTCAGATGAGCAGGAGCCTTATCTGCCCCACCACTGCATCTTTTACTGAAGTCGTCAGGACTGATGGTCTTTGGATATAACCGCTGGTGCTGGCATGCAGTGGTGCTCCATCCACTAGCTGAACACCCAGTTCCAAGACACTTCCATCTTTGCTCCCAGCTAAAGGGTGATTCTCCAGGCACAACTACTCCCCTCGTTGCTATACCTTCCCATCCTGATCAGCAAGGAGGGGTAGGGCATAAACTCTGTCTTGCAGTGTGTGGCAAGTCCCTTGTGTCTCTCGGAGGCCAGTGTTCAGAGTTTCTGGGCTCTGACAGGAACGAACACTGTCCACTGGGTTCTGGTGTCTGACCAGAGACTTCGCACGCTGAAAAGGTATTAAAAACACAATTACTGGTGTTTCTAATACCTTAGTTATTAAAGCTGTACATTTAAAATCTACTTTGTGTTCTTAACATTAATTTCCAAATCTTGTTCTAACTACAAACTCGTTAGTTTTGTATATAAACACTTTTGCTTATTCCTGGATTAATGCTCAATCAACTCAAAACTCTAATGGGTTACACTGTAAACATTGCTTGTACACTTAATCTAGTTTCCTTAGATATTTCAAAGTCAACCACATATTTAATCTGTTTGATTTCCATAAACATTTCCATTAGCTAATAAGAAAGACCTAAAATTGGGTGAAGCCTTCCTAAGCATTCAAATATGAACATCCTTAAACTCATAGATTTAATAAATCAAAATCTTTAAACAGTGTTTGTAAACTTAAAATGTCTTCAACATTTTTAAAAATTAAAATCATAGATCTAATTTCACATTCCTTTAAGTATTTCAAATGAAATTTAAAGTATCAGATTCTCTAATACATTTACCTTAAATAACAAAATACCACAATAATCAGAAACTTATTCCTCACTTTGACATGGGTTACTGATACCATGGATTTGATTTACTTGCCGTAATCTCTGAGTATGTTTTGATATCCTACCAAGGTAACCTATCTAAACTGAGGACTGTGATAGATTCATGGTTCGAGATTCTGGGCTGGTCAAGTACTGGTTGCTATTTCTGCAATGGTTTTACCCAAATTTCAAGTCAACAAACTAAGCCCCTTGCAGTAGTAATGGGGTTTTCAAGACTACCCCTATCTTGTACCTCACTCCATGATGGTTAGGATTGTTACCTCTTCTGAAGTTCTTAATGGCCTGATTTGCATCCGTTGAGCTTCCTCACCCACTACCCAGATCGGAATCCCTTTACTGCCTCAGTAAATTCTGCTTCCTTTCTATGTATTACTTTCTTAACTGACTCATCCACCCCATTCTAATTATAGAAATCATTGAAGGAAGCAACTCATTAGCAAGATTTTTCTTGTTTTGTCATTACATGACTTCTTGTTGATGAAGGGAAAACAATCTTAAAGAATTATAGTGTTTAATGCATTTTTCTGTGAGAGACATCTGTGGTTTTAGGTTAATTTGGGCTGCATTACCTTTGAAACAAAAGTAAATGTCAGAGATGACCATTTGGCTCTGGTCTACTCATCCATCCAGCCTGTGTCTGCCATGATGGTGGTACCGTGTACGTGCTAAGATACATGCACAGAAGAAGATAGTCTGCATCTGAAAAAAGCATACCAAATTTAAGTCTACAATGGAGCCAACTCACTAATTTATGTTCTCCAAACCTTGGATCAAATCATCTTTACTGTAGCCAAGGCCATAATCACAATCAACTCTGAAATCCAACATAAGAAAGAACTGAACACAGTTCAGGCAGACACTTACTGAGAATGGGTAGTTAGGAGAAGCAAACACTCATTTTCTCCATCAGCTTGCTCATTGATCGGCTATCTGTTCAAGGCCCTTGGGCCCACACTTGCTCAAGGTGTTCCATTTTAGCTGAGGAGAATGCATGGTTAATGAGAGAAATGTGAGCAGGCAAATGGGATAGGTGAGCCCCAATTCAGAGCAGAAGGAGATTTCTATTGGCTGGATGGGTGTGGAGCTACTGAGACCAGAAGAGACAGAGCCTATGTTGGGCCTGCAGTGACCAGGATCACTGGTCTGATTCACTGATTCAGCACATACTTACTGCATTCCCACTTTTTGCAAGCGCTTGGATTGGGTACTGGGAATACATCTATAAGCAAGACAGATCAAATTCTTTCTTCCAGAAGAACAAAATCAGTGGAAGGGAGATAGCAGTAAGTAACTATATAGACAATGAAGTGATGGTAAGTGCTATAAAAAAATAATAAAGTGGGGTAGGGGGACAAATAGTTGGAGTTGGGGGGGTGCCATTTCAGGTTGGTTGTCAAAGAAGTCCTCTCTGATGAGTTAGTATAGTGAGTTGAATAGTTTCTCCTCAAAATTCATGTCCACCCAGAACATCAGAAATGGGCATTTGTTTGGAAAGAGGGTCTTTGTGGATGCAATAAGTTGAAGGTCTCAAGATGATGTCCTACTGGATTCAAGGTGGGCACTAAATCCAATAATTTGTGTGCTTATAAGAGGAGAGGACACAGAGAAAAGCTATGTCAAAATGGCAGAGAGATTAGGGAGTGATGCTTGCCACAAGCCAAGGAACACCTAGGGCCATCAGAAGCTGGAAGAGGTGGGCGCCTGGGTGGCTCAGTTGGTTAAGCAACTGCCTTCAGCTCAGGTCATGATCCTGGAGTCCCGGGATCGAGTCCCGCATCGGGCTCCCTGCTCAGCAGGGAGTCTGCTTCTCCCTCTGACCCTCCTCCCTCTCATGCTCTCTGTCTCTCATTCTCTCTCTTGCAAATAAATAAAATCTTAAAAAAAAAAAATTTTTAAAAAAAAGAAGCTGGAAGAGGCAAAGCAGGATCCCTGAAAATTTTAATAACAATCAAGGGATAAATTGTTCACCGGCCTAAAGTATATAGAGTCCCCAGAAGTCATCCAAAAATAACAGTTTTATATAAAAAAATTTGATTTTCTGCTCTAATAAGATCCATATATTCCCACCCCCTCCCCCAACCACCACCACCATGTCTGGAAATTCTGCTTAGATTGTTCACAGGGTTGCTGTGAGAATTAAATGATTTAGTAAAGGCTAAAGCTCTTGGTATAGTGCCTGATACCTAATAAATGCTCAGATGATCTTAGCCATTTGTAGCTGTTTTGATGATGTTAACAGCAAACTCCTTTTCCGTCAGCCACAATACCCAGCACAGGCCTGGGCACACAGTATGATATTGAGGTAGATGCTCAGGAGTGGTTCGTCTCCAACATTTGGGATTTCTTCCACACGCGAAATAGCAGAGCTTATTTTATGTCTTTTTAAAAATGGTCTAAGTATTAATTGATTTAAAACAGCTGTTGATTCAACTCAACCAACTCAATTTATTTTGTTTAATTTTATTAATTTCTGCTTTTATCTTAATGTTCAGCCTTTTTTGTTTGCTCGTGCATTCCTGGTAATACATTTTCCCGAGAGCACTGGTTTGCATCCCACAAGATAACGCGATATATTCACAGTGACACTGTTGATAATTAAAGCAAGGATGCATATAAGGCGCTTAGCATAGTGAGTGCACAATAATGGACGGCTGCTTTAACCTTATCCCGCTCTTGGCCAACATCTATTTGACGTTCTCGGGACACCAGGTAAGCAGTTGCTTAGCCAAGCCACCTTACGCGCCTTTCTCCACTTTTCTTTTGCCCTTGTAACTCCTCCCAGTCCCTTAAGGGGCGGGGCCAGGTCTCCACGCCCCTGACCCCACCCCCACCACGTTTCCTTGACACCGTTCTCGTGTCTCACACATTCTATAATCCTCTGTCTCCTTCCGCCTTCTAAAAGCAACTCTGGGGGACTACGACGGAAAAAATAGTCCCTTGACTACAGAGTTCTTTCCACAAGGAGGCGGAACTGGGGCGGGGCTTAAGGGCGGAAGGGACCGGAAGTCCGTGATCCTTGTGGCAGGATTGGGCTCCGCGCGCTCAAGGGGCGGGTCAAGCAGGCGGAGGGATCCATGTTACGCGGCGCATGGCCCGCCGCCTCCACTTAAGGCGGGGAGAGCCCCTCGGGCGGCAGTTGCTGTGGTTTCCGAATTGAGGTTGCTTATTTCTTGTGGGAGCTGAAACTCGAGGACATAGCGTCTCGCGTCCGAGTTTAGCCGCGAGTGAATACAGATCAGGCGGTCAGGAGCGCAGCTTCTCATCTTCGGACCAGGGCCGGCCCCTGCTTTCCCTTCGCCACTTGGTGCCCGTATCTAGGTCGGCTCCGGCGCGGCTGGCCAGGCCGCGGGCGAGATGTTCAAAAACACATTCCAGAGCGGCTTCCTCTCCATCCTCTACAGCATTGGCAGCAAACCCCTGCAGATCTGGGACAAAAAGGTTAGGAGCTGGGGGGCGGTGGCTGGGCGGGGTGCTGGGGCCGCGCCCCCTCCTCGTCTGGGGGCTGGGGACGGGGTGGCGGGTAGTTGTGTCGAGTTGGAGCTCCGGGGTGGCCAGGCGGGCGCTGCTGTGACCTGTCCCCAGGCTGGCGTGACAGAGGCGCGAGGTGGGGACGTCGTGTCAGCAGCGGGGGGCGGGGGGTGCGTGTGGGGTGGGCGTAGCTGGGGTTTAAGTGTCCTGTGGCCGTGGTGTGGTTGGGACAGTGGTCCCTCGCCGCCGTCTTGACTTGGTCAGTCAGTTCCTCAGAGCCTCGGTTTCCCCATTTATACAGTGGGATCCGTGAAATGCATAAACTTACTTGAGATTGCTTTGGGAACACGCCGATGAAAGAAGCTGCTGTTCACTGATTTCACAAACATTTACTGATAGCCTGTTTTGTGCCAGGCACTGTGCTGGGCACAAGACACAGAGCCTTTGTTCCAGGCTACCTTATAGGGGCACAGCCAGAAGGCAGTTATGTTTGGATTTCATTCATTTGCTCCTTTCCTTCCAGTGATCTCAGACAGGGCGGAATTCGGGGGCCTTTGGCACCTGCTCCACATTCATTGCTTCTTGGGGTCTGTGCTGTGCCTTCCGTGCTTGATGTCTACATCAGAAAAATGGCAAAATTGTGATAAAGTTTTGTTTGGAGTAATAAGCTCAGAGCCGGGTACCAGCCTCATTATTTTTATTGAGGTATCCACTGGATAACATTTTCACTGACCCCGGGAGATGATGACCCTCTCCTTCATCTCCTGTCTTTTTGGAGATATTGAATAGGGGATGTGCGTGTCTAGCATGGTCTTGTTGTCTCATGCATATTCCCAGTCAGCTATCCCCCCCCCCCTTTTTTTTTTAAGGATAAGTTAAGACAGGCACTCTACTGTGGAAGACAGGTGATTCCTTAGGGGACAACTGAAAGAAGTGGTATGTTGAATGGTGTTTTTATAGAGATGGATGTGGAGTAATCTAAATAAGCAGTTTATTGGTAATGAAGCCAAGAATCTTGGATTTCATCTCAAAACAAGTCTTCCTATATCCACAGATAAGCGTTTTGGGCCACCCAGAGATTGGGTGAGAACACAGATAGCCTTCTGCCTGTCGTCACTAGGGAATTCTGCATTTCCAAAGCAGTTTTGAGGGTGGTGTGTTCTTAATGTCATTTTTATGAGATAGTTGAAAGATCTGAATATAGTGAGTTGTTTGGGCCTTATGCTTATGTGAAAAATCTGGCCAATTTTCTTTCCTCTTTCACAGTGCTTCTATCCACAAATTCAGGGTAATACACAGGAAAGCAGTTCCTTAATTTTTTCCCTACATTACTGAGGTTTTCAGTTCCTTGGTTTTGTTCACATTGGAATAAAAGCTGTAAACTGAAATCGCATCTCTGCAAAGAGAACCTGGAGTGAATGTACCTGAGAACTTTGTAAGGATGATGGCTTCCCAGCTGTGGCTTAACTTAGTTATGGGCTGTCAGGAGGCATGGAGAGAGTGACCTGTGTGCCGTTGAATATGAAATTGTAACAAAAGTGTCAATATGAGGCAATCGAACTAGAGAATGGGACTTGATCTAGGAGAGGTTTACAGAGCAGGTCGGAGAACTTCCAGAACTTCCAGCGGTAGAGAGGCCTCAGCATTTCTAGTAGGTGAAACTTACCAGAGTTGTCCATTTTAACCCTTCTGGGGCTTGATCTTTTGTAGTGTGTTTTATTTTTCAAATGCAGCTCTTTGACTAGTCAACATGTTTACACACGGAATATAAAAGCAAAGTAACCATGGTGCAGTGTGTCCCGTAACAACGCCAGTAGAGGTCGGATGGTACCCTCATAAACACGTGTGAAAACATTAGAACAACTGGCAGGGTTACATGGAGTAAATTAAACAGACATTTTGGCAAAGAAAACATTTAGAATAACACTCATTTTAATCAAAGTTCTTGTAATAGTAAAAGTTAATTACGTTTTCTACTTTTCGTATTTAGACTGAAAAGTGTTTAGGGGTGAATTTTTTCCGCTGGGGCAAGAAAAGGGAAGGGAGGAAAACGGCAAGTTTGAGGTCAGATCCATAGGCTTTGTTGTATGTGTGCCTTTTCTTGACTATATTACGAAGTCCTCAGGAAGTGTTGGGAATCCAACCCAGTTGGGGAAACACTGGGAATTGATATACTTATCAAAGATTTATTGAGCAACAGTTAAGTCACAGGTGCTGTGTAGATTTGGGGAGATACAAAGAGAAGAAGACATGTTCCCTGCTCTCAGGGAGTAAGGAAAAGTTTTAGTAAAGGCAAAGTTTGATGGAGGGAGGGATGGACAAATGACCCTGACCTTTGCCAGTAGGTATATATGGCTATTTTTGCTGTTTTGATTTCACAAACTTTACTATTCTCCTTCTCGAGTTTATGAAGACAGGATTTCTATAGTTTGTTTTCTGTGAAAAATTAGGTTTGGCTTCTGTTCAGGCTCTGTCTCCTTATGAACGTGAGGAGTGAATGCCATATTCTTGATACCAGTGAATGACAAACTCCATTTTCACAGGTGTGGTTACTAACATTTGTAACACCTGCGTTTATCCATCACTCTTTGAAGGTCATACACTGCCCCCATCCCATCCTTCAAATCTCAAGCATTATTTCACTGGGAGCTTAAGTTAGGTCTCCTGTGTGCGCCTATGGCCCTCTACATCACACTGTCTGGCAGGTGCCAGCTTATTGTGTATTTCCCACTAGACTGCAAGTTCCTTAAGGGGAAAAAAGTGTTTTACCTTAAAACCCCAGGGCTACAGTTGGGACAGTGTGGATTTGTGTCCTGGTTCTGCCCTCTGTCCTCTGCCGTGTAACCTTGGGCAAGTACTTACCTACTCAGTTTTCTCATTTTGTGATGATGCCACCTCCTCCCATGGTTTTGGAGATTAAATGAAGATGTATATAAAATGCTTGGCAACAGAGTTACGGCGTACAGTATTAAATAGGGTAGGAAACTGAGGAATTTGCTCAAGAGTAAATAAGTCTATACCTGATGCCTAGGAATAGGAAGTGCAGTAAAGTCAGACTTCGGAAATTAGAATAATTTTGTCATTTACCAGGGCTTTCCCAGTCCAGAAACCTTAACATGGCTCTCAGGCCACACAGCACGTGGTCTGGTGCCCGCTTCACTGGTTCTCCAGGCTCACCTCCCCCAGGTTCCCCCCTCAGCAGTGACCTCCCGCTCAAGTGAAAGAGGTCATGTTCTCGAACCTTCAGGCTTCTATACCTGACGGTCCCTCTGCTGGGACTCACCCTGCCACCTCTTCGTTAGTCTCTAGGTCACAGCGCAAAGGCACTTCCTCAGTTTACGTTAGTTTATATCCACTTGCCCCTCCAGGTTAAGTTCATTTATATCCCCTTATAGAATCTCTGCTTCCTTTTCATCATACTCCTCATACTTGAAATTAGCTTCTGAAAATCTCTATGCCTGGCTACACTGTAAACTTCCTGATAAAGACCTCTGCGATTTTTTTAAAAGACTTTGTTTATTTATTTATTTGACAGAGAGAAATAGCAAGAACAGGAACACAAACGGGGAGTGGGAGAGGGAGAAGCAGGCTTCCTGCTGAGCAGGGAGCCTGAGGCAGGGCTCGATCCCAGGACCCTGGGATCATGACCTGAGCCGAAGGCAGATGCTTAACCACTGAGCCACCCAGGCGTCCCAAATAAACTTTTTTTAAAAATTGCAGAGGCCTTGGGGTGCCTGGGTGGCTCAGTGGTTAGGCGTCTGCCTTTGGCTCAGGTCATGATCCCAGGGTCCTGGGATCGAGCCCCGCATCGGGCTCCCTGCTCAGCCAGGAGCCTGCTTCTCTCTCTCTCTCACTCCCCCTGCTTGTGTTCCCTCTCTCGCTGTGTCTCTCTCTGTCAAATAAATAAAAAATCTTTAAAAAAAAAAGTATAAAAACATCTTTAAAAAAAAAAAGTTTATTTGAGAGCACAAGAGAGGGAGGGTGGGTGGTGGGGGGAGGGACAGAGAGAGAGAGGGAGAGAAAGTCTCAAGCAGACTCCCCACTGAGCCAGAGGCCAAAGTGGGACTTGATTCCATGACCCTAAGATCATGACCTGAGCCAAAACCAAGAGTCAGACCTTAACCAACTGTGCCACCCAGGAGCCCCAAGGCAGCTAATTTTTCAAACCAACACGTTAGGAGAAATTAGGGGTTTCTTGATGTTCCCTTAACTTCTGGGACCAGCAGATAATACATTTACTAAAGGACTTTTATGTTTAATGTAGACATTACTTCTGGTTTGTAAAGAAAATACCAGATGGTTCTCTTCCCATCTATGCTGTATAAAGCATAGTTTTCATATTTCATCATATAAGTCTACTATACTAAAAGTCTACTAGATGAGAATGTTAATTCCTACCAGCCTCTCTGCCTTTCTCGCCTCTCACCTTGTCTTTCAGCTGCTGCTGATCTTCGCCTGTTCCAAAGCTAAATATTAGAACCAGACTTTTTGTGGTTGTTGCTGGATAGTATTAGATTCCCATTCCCCGTTCCTGATTTTATTTATTTTCCCTGTTCCCAATTTTAAAAATGAATTGTCTCCAGAAAAGTCGTTTCCACACCCTAGTTTTTAATTAGCAAACCTTATTGGTACGTTGTTAAACTGCTGTGGTTTCCAGTAGCAGAGTCGAGGGCATTTGGATGGGAAGGTAGTACAACTGTTGGGTTTTTTTTTTCCCAGACGTTCCCTGGATCAGTCTGATGATGTTTATTATTCTGAGTAACAGCTTTTACTATAATTGGGCGAAGGCATGGGTTTTAGTTATACTTGCCCTTGCAAGGCATTGCTAGGAAGACTGGTTAGCAATGCACTTAATTGACTCGTTGGAGCCTGCAAAGCCCTAACCTTGAGACCGAGCTATGCCCAGCTCTCCCCACAGAGGTCTCCCTCTGCCTGTTTTCAGACTTAGATCCCAGCCCCTAGCTGCGGGCAGAAACTTTCCTGCTGAAATGGACAGCTCTAATGGCTTAATGTAAATTGGAACATGTGTCATTAAGACTAGGATGCCAGATGGCTGAGGGCTCAGCTGTCTGCCAGGGTAAGTGGGTGGAGCCAGAGAAATGAAAGGTGGGGGTAGGGGATGCATACAACTCATGTGTTATTTTTAAAACACTTGAAGAAATACGGAGCATTGGCCAGCTTCCTCCCTATCCCAGGAGTACTTTTTTCCCCTCAGCTTGACCCTCCTCCCTGGAGCTTACATTGAAAAAAAAAAAAAAAATCAGTGTTCTTTATTAGTTGCCCCAGCAACCATGGAAAGCCTGGGAGAGTGATTGCAAGAAGGGCTTGAAGGTTCCCTTCCTGGTGTCTGCAGAGGCTGAGAACCGTTCTCATTTGTAATAGCTAGCAGCCTGGGTTCTGCAGCTCATAGCTTGGGGATGGCAGTTGGGTGGGGGCGGGAGGGAGCAGGTAGGTGGGGATAGTGAGTTCATGAAAAAAAATATAAGATTGGCTTTGTTTATTTTTTTGTAGGAATTAAACACTTGTAACCCACACCTTGATAGTGGGAATGTGTCATGAAATAAAAAAGAATTGAAAAGTCAAAAACAATTGGCACTTTCTCATTTAGAGAGGGAAGTAAAATAAAACCCACTTCTACCATAAGTAATAAATGCTGACCAGTTCATTTTTTCTTCATTTTAAAGCCAGGCCTGCTTAACAACCTCTGAACTAGAAGGAGCTAAGGAAAGGAAGTCCATGCTTTCTGAGGCCATGTATCTTGTTATATGTGTTTGTCAGAAGCTGGACTGAGGAGGGGGTGGCTTCCTGGAAGACCTTTACAATTTAAGGCGGTGACAGCCAGATTGCCAGGGCAGTTGGGAGGCCTTGCCCCCAATTGTCCATCCCCCCTTTCCCTTTGATCCTAGTTTTAGAGCCTAGAGAGGTTTTGGGAGATTTCCTTTAAGTGCTCATATCTCTGGTTGATTGCGCCCCCACCCCACCCCGCTTTTCCAATGAGTTTGTAGCCCTGTGAACTTAATAAAGGAGAAAAATCATACTTCACTAACAAATCAACTTAATTTGATTTCAAAGCTCTGGCAGCTGGTGATATGAGAATACTTAAAACTCCAGACAGACTGGTGGGCATTCCTTTGAAAAAGCTGCCTTTTTTCCTGAGTTCTCTTGTTTTATGGACTACGTTAATTAATTTTGTAAGAATTAAGTCTGAGTGTGGTGGTTGATGTGTTGTTGAGAGAAATTTCTCTTTAAGAAGTTATTGAAAGTCTAGCTAAAAATGAGCTTGCCTCTGGGGCAGAAGCAGAGGAGAATATACCAAGTCTGTTTTGGCTTCCAGTCTGTTGGCTTCTGCGTGCAGTGTAAGGCATTGTTTTCTTCTGTAAAGACTTGAATAATCGCATTTGCTGGAGTGAAGTCATCTGCTATAAACTTTGAGATGGGCAGAAGCAAGTTTCCTAACATTTCCTCCCTATGAAATCTGGCTGGGCTTTCTGAAGCTGAGAGAGAATTCTCACTGTGCTGGGAGAGACATAAGATTTGAGGCCATGCTTTCAAGCAGTGTTGGGTAAATTGCAACAAGTTGCCTTTTAGCTGTCCTTGAGCCCTTTTTCAAGTTAACCATCTGTTTGATAGTTGCATTATGTACCTTTTATTTTAATTTTATTTTTTTTTAAGATTTTATTTATTTGACGGAGGGAGACAGCGAGAGAGGGAACACAAGCAGGGGGAGTGGGAGAGGGAGAAGCAGGCTTCCTGCTGAGCAGGGAGCCCGAGGCGGGGCTCGATCCCAGGACCCTGGGATCATGACCTGAGCTGAAGGCAGATGCTTAACGACTGAGCCACCCAGGTGCCAGCATTATGTATCTTTTAAAGAAAGAATGAAGTTTTATTAGTTATAACTATAATTATATTAGCATAATTAGCAGTATGTCATAAAATTAGTGTTTGCATCTTGCTGGAATACTGGCGGCTCTTAGCAATGTGACTGCATCATGTTACTTGGAAATGGAAATAATTTCTCGTTTGATTCCTCCTTCACCAACAAGTCTGATTTTCCCCAGCAGCTGTGGGCTAGCAAACAGAGGAGGAATATTGCCACTTCGGTCCAGAGTGTTTATATGGGGGATGAGGTGGGCAGTGTTGGCATGTGCTACACAGACCCAAGGCTTTGTGCTCTTAATCTCCCTGGGAAAGCGGCCCAGAATTCGAAGCAGGAGGGCATTGGGTGTCACCAGCTTTGTTTGAGAAGCACTTCAATGTGACATTTGTGTCTTAAGAACCTAAGAAATGCTGCATTGGCAGAGATCTGGGGCCCATCCACCATGCATTCTGTCTCTGATAATGGGCACCAAAGGCTGATTTGTGGGAAAGCATTCTTCACACTGGCAGCCTCCTTGGCTTTGTGATAAACCCCAGGCTCTCTGGCTTCCTATAATAGTCCATGGTGGATATGTTATCCAGGAATTTTTTAAAAATCCTCCTTGAATCTATTCATCCTTGCCAACTCTCAGGGTGACAAATTCCAGAAGTCAGCAAATATTTGAATGCTTAGTTTATGCCTAGCATAGTACCAAGCATTGTGGAAGATACAAACGATGCTTAATACTTGATCCCTACCTTTGAGCTTAAAATACTTTTTTGAGGAGACAGGACTCAGTTGCATCTTGCAGAAAAAGATGGGCAGTGATATTACATATCCCATGGGAACACCAAGCACACCACAAGTGGATCAAATTCATAGTAACAGAGGTCACAGAGACTGAGGTCTAAACACAAAATGCCATATTAATAATCCGTTTTGAAAAATATAACTGTCTGTCAGACTTGGCACTGTGCTCTCTCTTTATATGCAAGCCTAGTGGAAGGCCAAAGGATTGAGTCATTGACTATGACAGGCCGATACAGCCATTTTCACTATACCTGGAAAAAGACTGCATGCTTTTGGTGCATACTGTTCTAAAGCTGCTTGATCTTTTTCATGTGTGAATACATTCAGCCCTAATAGGCTAGCCCCGTGTCAAAAATGCCTGTGCCTATCTCTGCTCTATCCATATTAGGTGCTTCAGAGTTTAGAGCTTGAAGGTAATTCTGCTTTCCTGAATTATTTTGAGAAGGGAAATCCGTATTGAGTATTGATCCCTCCCCATATTGTACCTCCTACATAGGCAGCAGACGATACAAAACAATGTGGGATGAAGTGCTAAATTATGTCCTCTAGGCTACATGAGCCGGACAAACAAATCAGAAAGAAGAGAGGTCGGTGTGGGATGAAATGCTAAAGAAGGGCTTCTGTGTATGGCAAAGATGAGACTTGAATTCTTACTTTAGAAAGTTGAAATTTAAGAGACTCTTAACAATGGAGAACAAACTGAGGGTTCCTAGAGGGGAGGTGGGTGGGGGAGGAGCTAGATGGGTGATGGGCATTAAGGAGAGCACTTGTTGTGATGAGCGCTGGGTGTTGTATCCCACCAATTCAGTGATTCACTGAATCCTCCTGAAACTAGTATTACACTGTGTTAACTAACTAGAATTTAATTTAAAAAAAAAAAGAAAACTTGAAAAAACGGAAATTTAGGGAACAGAAGGTAGGGAAGCAGGAAGTAGGAGCATAGTGTGAGAAGCATTGTGGAAGATAGAAATGATGCTTCATACTCGGGGCGTTATGCTTTCATGTTTTGGTTGCCCACCTCCTCCTCAGTGGCATCCAGCGTTCAGCCTTTCTGGCCGGAGTGCATGAGGCAGTGCGGGCCATGGAAAGCCTGGTCCTTAACCCTGACTCTCAGGATCCTCATTTGCATTACCCTGGGGCAGAAGCAGAGGAGAAAAATACCACCTACATCTGTAAAATACCACCTACCTTGAAGATTTTTGTTGTTGCTAGGATTAGTCAGAGAATATATAAGAACGTCCCTGGTGCACAGTGCGTACAACGTTATCCTGACGTACAGATTGCCAGGTCACCTGCAATTCCTGTACTGGTTGATGGGACCCCGTAGAGAGGTAACATCGTGGCTTACTTCCATACAAGCTCAGTCTCCCGTGTCGCAGAGATCTTTGCGTTATGCCCCAGTGGCTACTGTGGTCTTCTTTAAATGGTCCATTTGGCCTTCACAATCTTAAAAAGTTATTAAAAGTTATTTATAACTTAGAATTTATTGCCAAATATTTCAGTACTGATCAGTTTCATTTTCTTCATTGTAGGTGCGGAATGGCCACATCAAAAGAATCACTGATAACGACATCCAGTCCCTGGTGCTAGAGATTGAAGGAACAAATGTCAGGTAGGCAGCCTGCCTGTTCACCCGGAGACCCCCGCACCGGCGAGGCAGTACGTCGTGGAGGCTAATAGCAGGGACTGCGGGGCCGACCACCCACTGGGGATCCAGCTCTGCTGCTCACACCTTGCCCCGGGCAAGTTGCTTGATCCCCCAGGCCTTAGTTTCCTCATCTGTAAAATAGGGATAACAGGACACCTTCCTTACGGGGTTATTGTGAAGATTAAGTGAATTGTGTATAAACACACTTAGCGCCTGCTCAGCCCATAGTAAGTGCTGTGTGTTAGTTATGTTATTATACGTAACCAAGGCTCGTGGACATGCATGGGGCGGGGGGGGCCGGCACTAATCATCCAGTGGGTGGCCTGGGCCACAGTGTGGTTTTCTGGGCCACAGTGGTCTTAGTTGGGGTTTTCTATCACTTGATGGCTCTCTTAGACCAGAGGGGAGTCTTCTCTCACTGCAGGAAATTGCTCAGCTCACCAGCCTGGCTTTGTTTTTCAGGTATTTTGTTTTTCAGGTATTTTCTTGTTGATATATAGTTCTGTGTGAAGCTTGTGTTTCAGAGTCCACCATTGTTTGTTTGTTTGTTTGTTTTTTAAAGCATCCGGATTGAGGGATTATTAGATGATGTATCTGGATCTTTTAGATCTACTCTCCAATTTACCTCTTGGACCGAGTGTTTTCACGGTGTATACCACAGAGGAAAAGGCAACTGGTGTGTTTACTAGTGTCCCCTCTCTCTGCAGCACCACATATATCACGTGTCCTGCAGACCCAAAGAAGACGTTGGGGATTAAACTTCCCTTCCTCGTCATGATTATCAAAAATCTGAAGAAATACTTTACCTTTGAAGTACAGGTTAGTAGATGCACATGAATGTGTATACTCTTAGCTCTCCCAGAGGGATAGCCTGTCAACTTGCAGGAGAAAAGTAGCTCTAGGAAAGTATCCTTATTCTTTTGTGTGTCTTCTTTTCTGCCTCTGCTAGACACTTGATACGGCCATTATTACGACAACATAAATTTGGTATTAGTAATCAGACTTTCATGCCAAGTCTTTTTTTTTTTTTTAATGTTTTATTTATTCATGAGAGTCAGAGAGAGAGAGGCAGAGGGAGAAGCAGGCTTCCCACTGAGCAGGGAGCCTGATGCGGGGCTCGATCCCAGGACCCTGGGACCATGACCTGAGCCGAAGGCAGACGCCTAACCATCTGAGCCACCCAGGAGCCCCTCATGCCAAGTCTTTAAAGCAGCAGCAAGCACCTAGGAAATCTGAATGATAGCTATCAGATTTCAAAGCTTAAAGGTTAGAGTAGTGTCCGTTCCATACTGGTTATTGTTGGTCTCTGTTCTGATATTTGTGATTTTTCAAATGGGAGAACGTTTATGAAATCTTTCTATGGTCTGTGGGCCCTCGGCTGTGTCATGTGCCCTAAGAAGCTGGTGTTGTCTCAGCAACGGACAAGATAAACTTGCTACTTCCGGGCCATCTGCATCTAGTGTGACCTGTATCTGGTCTGTTTATTCTCCCTTGGGCCTCAGCCTTGGGAAATCGGGCTGTGGGAGCTCAGGCCCTTGCCTCACCAAGGTTGTTTGCTTCTTCCAAGGTAGAGTTAATGTGGCTCTTTTTCTGTGTTTCATAGGTACTAGATGACAAGAATGTGCGTCGGCGGTTTCGGGCGAGTAACTACCAGAGCACCACCCGAGTCAAACCCTTCATCTGTACCATGCCCATGAGGCTGGATGATGGCTGGAACCAGATTCAGTTCAATCTGTCAGACTTCACTAGGCGGGCATATGGCACAAATTATATCGAGACCCTAAGAGTGCAGGTACTGGCTGGCTCCTTTTCTGATGGAGCCCCAAACGGGAGAGGGAAGTCTGCTCTGCCTGTTACTGGCTTGTGGCCCTTGTGACAGAACAGTGTGGCTTTCTGGCTGAGTGCCCAAGTCACTGTCTAGAGGTCTCAGAGAGGTCCAGGACACATCAGGTGTGTGCTCAGATACAGTGGGAGAACATAGCAAGCAAAATATCCCTGTTGCCAGAACCCACCCCTAAGCCATGCTGAGGAGATGCCAAAGAGATGAAGCTTTGACAGCATCATGGGAGGGGCTTCATGAGAAGCAGGACAAGAGGAAGGCCAATCATATTTTGTTTCTTTTTTTTTTTTTTTAAAGATTTTTTTATTTATTTGCGAGAGAGAGAATGAGAGACAGAGAGCATGAGAGGGAGGAGGGTCAGAGGGAGAAGCAGGCTCCCCGCCGAGCAGGGAGCCCGATGCGGGACTCGATCCTGGGACTCCAGGATCATGACCTGAGCCTAAGGCAGTCGCTTAACCAACTGAGCCACCCAGGCGCCCCATATTTTGTTTCTTAAAAGAAGTCTTGCACCCACAGATCCATGCAAACTGTCGCATCCGACGGGTTTACTTCTCAGACAGACTCTACTCAGAAGATGAACTGCCAGCAGAGTTCAAACTGTATCTCCCAGTTCAGAACAAAGCAAAGGTAAGCCGCCTTCCTCAGAGGAGTCCAGATGGTGAGTTGGGGCAGCCGGAAAGTGCACTCTGCTGAGGCCAGCTGCAGAGCATCTCCATGTTGACCTAGGGGCCGGAGTACCTTTCATCCTAAGGTCTTCCTAAGGTCTTCTTCCACCATCAGCACTGAATCAGGATTAGTCCTGTGAAATGTTCTGTTACTGCTGTCTCCACCTCCACAAGGTGGTCTTGCCCCTCCCTGCCTCCTGCTCACAGGCCTTCCTTGGAGAATGTCTTCCATCCTCTTCCATCCTCTTTAGCAGCCCCAAATTACTAGCAGCCCATTGGTCTCCTCTGACAAAATGGCGGCCGCCTACGTGCCTGACTGCTGCTGACATTTCACATTTCCGTACAGCCCAGCGTCCCCTCCGGTGTCACCAGAGGTGGGAGGGGGGCGGTTAGTGGCACTGACCATCTATTTTCTGATAACTTAAACTGATTCCTCTTCTCTTTGTTTCTTTTTCTCCAGCAATAACTGGAATGCAACTCAAGGGATAGCCGCCGGACATGGCTCTTAGTTTAAAAAGGAAACTATCTGGAGGACAACGCAAAAAACAAATATTTCTATTAGTTTACTGTGCTGTGGTTCTTTTATCTATTACTCGGTGTCCCCTGTTGTGGACACCAGTGACCATGCCATAATGCCATAATTGCATTGTAAGTGCAGTGGGAATAAGCTGTCCTTTGGAACATGAATGCTGGAATTTATCCTGCTGCCTGCCTCAGTGTGTGGGGAGATACACTTAACCACGAACTTAACAGATTTAAAGATGTCCCATATGGCAACCTCAGACCAATATTTCTTCCTACGGTTTGTGCATTGTTTTATATATTATCTAAATATATGTATATGCTGTGTAATACTCATAATCTGGAAATGAATAAAATACTATATTCTTGGTTTGTAAATTTGTTCTTAGTTTATTTTCATTCCTTTGTGATGTGAACATAGAGCTCTTTCCAGAGAACATCCCATAAACTTATGCTATGGAATAGCTTGCAGTAAGCACTTAAAGAGCAAGACAGAGCTATAGATACTGATTTAGAACAACTCCCAAGATCAACTAAATGGAAAAAAATGTGAACAGCGTTATGACCAGTAGAATCATCTTATTAGGGGTTGGGGCCCTTGTTAAGCTTAAGACAAAGTGGCATCTAGTCCACTTTTTATTATTATTATTAATTATTTACTTATTTAGAGAAAGTGAGAGTGGGGGGAGGGGCAGGAGGGAGAGGGTGAGAGAATCTGAAGCAGACTGAGCTGAGTGTGGGGCCCGACCTGGGGCTCGATCTCATGACCCTGAGATCACGACCTGAGCCAAAATCAGGAGTCAGATGCTCAGCCGACTGAGCCACCCAGGTACCCCCAGAATGCTCTTAAATACCTTAGGAAGTTATCCCATTGGAGCCCCACATGCTCTTCTGTAACAGCATACCCAGGGTCCCTCAGCATGGCAGCCGATCCCCATGTCCCTATTTGAGCTCCAGATGAAGTACTTGCCTTGAATTTAAGGACTTAGAGGAAAAGTGTTTCTTTAAACACCTCAAGCACCTGAGAACTGAAACCGTACCCCGCTTTCCCTGCTCACACTTCTTGGGCATATTCTTGGTTAGTGGAATGACCCACCCTGGCACAAATAGTTAACTTTACAAAAGTGAAACACATGATGCAACTCTCCCATATGTAACGTTTCTGGGGGAAAGCGGTCTCGGGGCAGAGAAGAGCATATGCAGATATACCTAGGGCTTGAAGGATACAGAAGAACGAGCACAGTGATGTCTAGAGAGAATGGGTATTGTATAGACTTTTTGTACGGTAAAACTTGTTTGAAAAGTAATATTTATGGGGGCGCCTGGGTGGCTCAGTCGTTGAGCGTCTGCCTTCGGCTCAGGTCATGGTCCCAGGGTCCTGGGATCGAGCCCCGCATCGGGCTCCCTGCTCGGCGGGAAGCCTGCTTCTCACTCTCCCACTCCCCCTGCTTGTGTTCCCTCTCTCTCTCTCAAATAAATAAAATCTTAAAAAAGAAAAGTAATATTTATGTAAAAAGAATTTCCAAGTCAAGGAAAGGACAAAAGGCCATCTTAGATCCCGTGCTCGCGCCAGGGAACTCGCCCCGGATCTGGCTCCGTCCCACAGGGATGGCGCTGCAAATGTGCGCCCCGGCCATTTTGAACTTGGATGAGAGGTAAAAACAGCGCTGACTTCGACGTTGCCCTTGCCGCCTTCTGTGAAGTTAAATGGCAAGAAGCAGTGTTGTCGGGCGCGGTCGTCCCCCAGAGCGCGCGGCGGGTAAGCACCAGGACTCGGAGGCGGCCGGGGCTGCGCTGGGGGCGGGCGGTCTGGGGGGAACCGGGCTCCCCCACTACGTCGCGCGCCTCTCGGAGCTTCCTTTCTCCCCACGGCTGCTGAGGGCCTGACACTTAGGCGGGCTCAGTCAGGACAGCTCTGCCCTTTCTTTCCCTGCTAAAGACTAGACCGGGCCGCCTTTCTCATGGATGCTGCCCTCCCCCCCGACAGGCACCGTCCGCCCAGGTGACAGTGCCTCTTCTTTCAGGGCCAACGCCAGGCCCGGCTGAGTGTCGTCCCGCTTCCCCATCCTCAAACCTCCTGGCATTGCCGTTGTTAGACTCTATGTGCCTGTGTCCTGCGCCTTCAGGGTCACAGTACGGTTGGAATCCTCGGAAGTGGGTGGCAGTGGGGTGGCCAGGGACCTCACCAGAGCTCCCTGTCTCTGGTCACTGTACAGTGAAATCTTCCTTCCAATATGGGGTCTACTGTGGGATGAAAGATGCTTTTGTGGAGACGAGAAGACCCGGTTAAGTTGCCGTCGCTCCTCAGCGCCAGGCCATCAGTGAAGTGCTCCTGGAAGTCCAGAGAAATACAGTAACACACTCTCCTCCACACAGAGCCCCTTTCACCCCGAGGCACTTGTCCGACTATGTATGGGGATTACCTCACCTCCCTCTTTGGGGTGGAAGGCGCAGCTGTTGACTTCCCAGATGCTTTACATATCCTTCCAAGCGGAAGTGAGGGGGCGTTGAGGGTGATGGGATGTATTATCTACACTGGCCCCAGGCCAGTGTGAATTGTGGCCCCTTGCCCTCAGCCTTCCAGCTCACCAGCAAGATGGCGACAACAAGTTATGAGGCCGAGGGAAGGAGGAAGGGACAGGCCGTGAGGGTTAGCGGCCTCCTCCATGGTGCTGGGGCCAGAGTGACCTTAGATTATAGAACTCGAAGCAGCCAGAGTTGCATCATGAGGCTCCCGGCAAGGTGTGTTTTAGAAGGAATTGCCTTCCAACCGAGAGTGTTAGTTAATTGTCATGGACTCGATGGGATAGGTGTGCAACCATTCCCAGCAGAACTCATCTTGGGGGACAGTGGATCCACTATGGCCCTTATTCGCCACTGGCCCACTGAATGCTTTCCCTGTCGCCAGGCCAGCCCCCTCCTGGGGCATTTCTCAGGAAGACAGGCATGCCAGAGAACCACCTCCAAGCTGACTTCCCCAGCACCTCAGCGGCTTTCACCCAAAGCCTCAAGGGTCAAGGAACTCACTGAGGAAGATCTTGGCACTCTCCTTGTCTAGCCCTCTGTCCCTCCGTTTCACTGCTCAGGACATTGCTGCTTCGAGAGACGCGGGCTAGCCCCTCAGATAGTGGCCGGGGTGCAACAAGGACCCGGATCGCCTGACTGGAGTCCTGTGCCATCCCCATCCTCCTGGTGTCGGTGGCCTCCTGCCTCCTGTGTGGCTGGCTGTGCCCTTTTGGTAGAGGGCAGTGAGAAGTTGGAGAATCCCTCTGGGTGGCTGAACCAGGTCCGACGTTGCTGCTGGAGAGAGCTCGAGGACCAGACTCAGCTCGCCCTTGGCGGTGAGCGCTGGCCTGGTTGTCACTTCATGGTTGCATGTTAGTGGACCTTCAGCAACTGAGGCTAAAGGTACAAAGCGGTAGGGGCAAAGGTTTGTGTTTCACTAGCGGTTCACAAAAGTCACCCATGCTCGCGGGGAGTTTAAACCACACAAAGAGGGCGCCTGGGTGGCTCAGTTGGTTAAGCGACTGCCTTCGGCTCAGGTCATGATCCTGGAGTCCCGGGATCGAGTCCCGCATCGGGCTCCCTGCTCGGCGGGGAGTCTGCTTCTCCCTCTGATCCTCCTCCCTCTCATGCTCTCTGTCTCTCATTCTCTCTGTCTCAAAAAAAAAAAAAAAAAAAAAAAAAAAAGAATGAGTTGGAAATGGGCACCTGGGTGGCTCAGTCAGTTGTGTGTCTGCCTTCAGCTCTGGTCGTGATCTCAGGGTCCTGGGATCGAGCCCCAGGTCAGGCTTTCTGCTCAGCTGGGAGTCAGCTTCTCCCTCTCCCACTGCCCCTCCCCCCACCCCTGCTTGTGCGCGCGCTCTCTCTCAAATAAATAAGTAAAATCTTTAAAAAAAAATAAAGTGGTGGGCGCCTGGGTGGCTCAGTTGGTTAAGCAACTGCCTTCAGCTCAGGTCATGATCCTGGAGTCCCGGGATCGAGTCCCGCATCGGGCTCCCTGCTCGGCAGGGAGTCTGCTTCTCCCTCTGACCCTCCTCCCTCTCATGCTCTCTGTCTCTCATTCTCTCTGTCTCAAAAAAAAAAAAAAAAATCTTTCAAAACCACACAAAGAATATGAAGTAAGATGGAAGTCCTAGTTCCCATTTATGAACTGAAAGTATTTGAAGGGGCAAAGTTTTAACTGCTTCACATGCATTCGTGCTACTGCATTTTCACAGCACGGAAACAGGCCCTATTACTCTTACTTTACAGATGAGGAAACCAAGGCACAGAAATGAACGTGCCTGAGCTCCCACAGTGATCCCCCCGCCGGCAGAGGTAGATTTCAAACTCAGGCTGTCGAACCCCCACGCCAGCCGGGCTCTTAAATCACTCAACATCTTTGACCCGCTGTTTCTTCCTCAACAAAGCAGCCAGATGAGGCGACTTACCTCAGTGTTGGGCTTCAAGAGACGCCCACGAACGAGGGATCCGATCAGTTGTGTGGTTTTCACACGGCGGAATACAATACAGCCCCGAAGAGGGACACCGTGCCGCTAGGGGCAGCAAGAGCGGAAGCGCGCAAACAGCAAGGAAGCAAGGTACAGCGTGTTAGGAATGATTCCACTTCTCTCTGATTTCTAGATAAGCCAAACAGTGCACTGTTCTGGATGCACTGATGAACAACAGTCCCTAGTGACAGGCCGGGGACTGAGTATCTGTGAACTCAGGCGACTGCTCTACAGGGGTGGGGCAGGGGGACAGGAGTGATGGGAGAGGTGCTGCTAGGGACTTCTGAGGGCCACTGGGGCTTTATTTCCTAATCTGGGCAGCATTGACACACAGATGTTTGCTTCAGTACAATTTGAATTACACACACTGTTGAATATATTCTTCTGATTATACTTCTCATTTTTAAAAAGGTCAAATTTAGATTACTTAGCCCTGGCCTATTAAAATGCAGGCTCTTGGGGCCCAGCTCATTAAGATGCAGATTCGCTGGCAATAGATCTAAATCTGGCCCAGAAATCTCCACGTTAACACTTTCCCCTGGTGACTTTTGCTGTTTCTGTCACTGGAGAAGCTGCTCTAAGTTGGAGTGAGCAAGAGTTGAGTGCAGAGAGGCCAGATGCTGGGAAGAAAGGAAAGCCTGAAGCAAAGTGCCCCTCGAGCTTTAAGTTCCTTTTATACAAAATTCTAGTATGTCACTTATATCTCTGCCCCTTTTCCAGAACCTCAAATATGGAGTCCTATAATGCAAACCACCAGGGCCTCTGGGCTGTGGCATGAGGCACTCCAGATCGTAAATCCACAAGGCACTGAACATCTGGATGGAACATGAGCCTTGGAAAAATTGTGCTCCTTGGTATCCATGGTGTCTGAAGCAAAGCAAAACAGTG